CCCTTAAGTGCTTAGCTCTACTTCAAGGACAATTTTACCTGTTTCACTAATGCGTCTTAAATGTCCCCCAACACCCCCTTGCTAGTATTGCTGTTGCCATATGCAGTACTTGAAAACGGTTAATAATTCAGGTGTTGTGGATCCCTCCTCACTCCTCGACTCTCCTTCTCATTTTGATTGATGGTGAGCCAGAAGTTGGCGTCAGAACATTTTTGGTCAGTTGTTGGCAGTTTTGGATTTTTGTTGTTTTTCTTTCCTTTTTAAGTTGTAAACTTAACTCATATTTAAGACATACAAGCACCAAATTTCATTTAGTTCAGCACCAAAGTCACCGTGTGCTGTTCCTCTACACAGTTGCGTGTGTATATAAAGTACAAAAATCACACATTTTATCGTGTGACAACCATTTTGTTCTCATCACTTTTGTGTTGTTGCTGAGGTGTTAGGTTTTGTTTTTTTCTAGGAAGACTTTGTGGCCTTTCTTCTGGGGAGAACGGTTGTTGGTACAGTTTAAAAAAGATATAACGGGCAGCCAGATGAACTGACTGTCAGAGAGTCAAATAAATGAGATTGTGTCTGAAAATATGGGATCTTCCATTCTATTATATATAATTTAAATCAGTAGGGCTGATCTGGAGATATTTTATAATACGCTTGGATCTGTATGTTTGAATTTTTTCCTCAGGATCTGTTTTGTTTTGAGTTTTTAAAACGTGATATTTTATTGGTGTGACATTTTGCACTGCCTCATGTATTTTAAAGTCATGTCATTTTTTTGTGTGTATGTCTTTGTTGCCTTGAATTATTGAATACATTGTGCTTTACCATCATTTGCCTTGCGGTTGCTCTTTTGTTGGCTTGCATCAAGTTAGCCTCTTTTTGTTTCCCTCTTCTGTTAAAACACTTTACTGGGCTAGATTTTCATTCCACACAAACGACAGAAGTCTCAGAATAATAATTATAGCTGTAGTTAACTTTTATAGGAGCAAAGCCAGGCAGAAAAAAAGTTTAGTTAAAACTGTGAAAAGTATCTCCAACACATTCTTTTTAGTTCCTCATCAACCATTTTGGAACCTGTTCTTGTTAAAACACCTCCATATTGAATGAACTAGAGTGGAATGAAGATCTGCTCTGTTTTATTCACATGAGAACCAAAGAATAGCCGCCATTACATCAAAGCTCTCTGTGTCCTTATCTGACGCTAAAGGTTCTTCATTTCCTTTCAACCTATTGTTTCTCTCTCATTGGTAAAGCAGTGAATTATTCCCTGGCCATGATTCCCAACTCCTTGAAATTTCCCTTAAAAAAAGAAAGAAATAGTCAATTGAATTGTAATTAATGTTAATTTGTTTGAGATGAACATATCAAGCCTGTTGCTATTTCTCCTTTTTTTTCCTTCCTCATTTTAAAAAGCAACTGAACATGTGAAATGATTTTAAACTGAGACAAATTTGAACAGCAAAACATCTGCCAACGTGTCCATCGTCCAGGCAGCAGACCACACACACAATGAGGTCTGACAGCCACGTTCACACAGTGTGAGTGTGTGAGTGTGCGCTTAACAATGAGACCTACTGTATAGATATACATGTGTTGGATGCATAAACACCCCTCTGGGGGGGCTGTAGGCAGCAGCAGGTGGACTGAGAAATGTATCCGAGACCCCTGATCTTACTCTGATGTGGCATATCTGCAAAATGGGAAATGCTGTCTCTTTTTAATAAATGTGCTATTTTATCAGAACGTGGTGCTGCTGTTTTTCTACTCAACATACCTGACTTATGGTACTTTGGGTATTTAACTAACTTTTTGAGCTTAGATCTAAAAGTAACAATATTTCCTGACACATGTAGTGGTCACAGCACATGCACAGGCCCTCTGTTTGTCCAGGTGTTGTTTTTCCACCACCTGTGAAAACCTCTTGAAATAGACCTTCATATCTAACATGTGTTGGGACCAGAATATCCACAAGGGGAACACAGCTGAACAAAGTAGACTGTTTCATGCCCACAAACAGACACTTTTGTAACAACAAGCCATTGTTAGATTGAGCTTTAATAACCAAAGTATGACTCTGTTACAGTGTATCATATCCACTATTTACATATATATTTAGCAAGAAATAACATTAATAAATTAACATATTTGACATTGAAGTGCATAATGTCCTTGTGAGCTTTGACTCTGCATGTCTCTTAGTCCGAAATTGGGTTTTTTAAACTTCAGTTTGACTTCATCTGTAGTACAGAGCCATGAAAGGTGTGTGTGAGGGGTGAACACCGCCCGTTGCACAGGACACCCCCGATCCAGCCTGACTGCAGCCCAGGACGAGGCTCCGCTCCAGGGCAGGCCGTGTGCTGCCGGCCCCCTCCCCCCACACATCACCAGCAGTGTCCTGCTGTGCACCAGAAGTGGGCTTTTCTCCTGGTGCATACCCCCTGGAAGAGAACACCACCCGCCGCATGTTCACCAGGCTTGGACCCCCTCCAGCACCACCTGCCGCCTCCTGAAGACTCTGGAAGAGGAAGAGCAGATCCACCCTCAGGTCCACCGTGTTGCCCCGAGACCACAAACTGTACCTGAAGGAGGCGAGAGACAACAAAGTTACAACCAGGCCTGACTTCCAGAGACAAACAGTCAGTGTGACTTTTAAAAAGAGAAGAGGAATATGTGCAAAGCAATATATAGGTAAAAGATAAAGATTGTGGTGAGATGGTGAAAGAGGGCTGTGTATGAACAAAGAAATGACTATACAATACAATCAAGTTTCCATTCAACATGTATATTATTTTAGGAAAACTATCATAGTATAAATAGCAGACCACTATGCGTAAATCTCAGTACGGTTTAATTGATATGCAATCAAAAGGATTTTCATAGATGAATTACAGATCCTCCAACCTCTTAGGAATATCTTAAGAGGGCATGACAATGATCCACTCTTCTTTGCATGTAGGTTTGTTTTGAGTCTACGCAGTGTTTGGAAATCGTCATAGTATCACAAAACATAATATCACTCCACACTTTCTATATTTTCTTACACCTCTAGATCATGTTTACCTTGTAGGAAGGCCTCGCTTTACCAATGATGGAAGCACAGGATGGATGTCCAGGTGTTGTGGGTTGGATAGTTGGAGGTGAAGCTCGGCTCTGATGACCGACAACGATAAAATCTCCCTGGTGAAGAAAAACTCCACATCTGTGCCTGAGGAGGAGGAGGAGGAGAGGGAGTCAGTCACAGAGATGTTTATGAGCATTTCATGTCACAGAGCAGCACATACACTCATGTCAGGCTCCATTTTAATAAATCTCAGGGATCAGAGTGAGATTTACACCACAGAGGTGATGTTTTCACTCCTAATACCATGTTAATCTGTCAGCAGGATGTCTAAACTAAGACTCATTTGTATGCAGATAACATCGTCTTCTATACAGATGCATTCATGGAGCCATTAATGTCCTTCGAGCTGTTTTTCAAGCACATCCGCTTTCACTTCTGCAATGGTGACATTCCCACACAGTGTCACTCTTTGAACACAACATATGAATTATATGCCAGTTTGATGTTGCAACTTGTCCCTCTCAATGCTGCATGTTAACACAAGGTGTAGAGAGAATTTAGTGAATTTGAAGACAAATGTCAATAGTGAGTGAAGATATTGAGAATATCTTCAGCCCAAATCTGATGAGCATGTGTCAATACTCAACAAATAGAATCAACAAGTAAAGTTATTGCAGTTGAAGAACGTTTCACCACTGGTTGCCTTTATGGCCCTCTTGGTGGTGAGTGTCTAGGCCTATAGTTTAATCCTGAATGCACCATTTCCCACCACATTTGTAATCATTAATTGACTAACAATTTGTGGAAGTAAAACACATGAAAACCAACCTGATCTCTACTTTTTCTTATCGAGCTCTGCAGCAAAGCAGGACCAACACATTTCAGTTCTAAAGTAGGCTTTGACAAGACATGCGTTTGAGCTGGATCTACTTTGTCTTACCTCCTCTCAGGCGACCTTGAATTCCTTTTACGCTCCTGCAGTCCCGTCCTTCTTGACAGCAGTGGTAAACCGATCGCACAAAGCTGAAAAGGAAATGGCCTGGGAAAACCAGGCCATGGGAGGCTCCAGGGGTTAAGGGCAGCGCACGGAGCTGCAACAGTGTAGCATTATCCTCGGGAGCTGGCTGTGTGTTTTCCAGCCAAGGGGCCGCCCGCTCCGCGCACCGCTCCCGGTACGTCTCCGCCACCCCGCGCCTCCACGCGTCCGCGCGTAATGTTGTTCCGGATTCATCTGCAGTTTTATGAAATCCCAGCGTGTCTACTGGGCGGCTAAATACTCCAACGAAACGTGTCACCCCCGATAGAAGAAATAGAGAAATCCAAATGCATCGCAAGGAGGCCATGGCGATTTCTAAATCCGGCCCTTTGGATCTTCACTGATGGATAGCAGGCAGCTTTTCTGTTGTGCCAACTCTCCCTCTCTCTGCTTGCTATATACCCCACTGACAATGGGGACATCTTTCCACTTAGAATTTGAATCCTTGCCCTCCTCACAGACCCTGCCCCTCTTTTTGTTCGAGCCCTTAACCACCCATTTGCCCCCCACTGCTTTCTTTCAATGCGCCTGCATAATGAGGCGCCCCTGAGCGCGCCGACCCCAACCATTCAAATTCAGCTACTTAGCTAATGACTCTAATGACTCCATATCTGGAACATCAACAACGATCTTATTTACAACACATACAGCGCAGAATGATTTGGAAAAACCGTGAATAATAACATTTTATGAGCATGTGTTTGGCTTTTTTAAATAGCCGTGCGCACGTCCTTCTGCGGGCGAGTTGTTACCATTTTGAAAAAAAGGCATTAAGCCTGAAGTGGGAAACAATGGGGGCCGGACTGCAGGGTCACATGCAAGCCGCTGATGGCCCTAATCGCACCGTGTAGCCCCTGTGGTTTCAAACAAGCATTTACAAAAGTAGCTCACAAGACTCAACACTGAGAGGATCATGTATTCATTTAATTTCCACTAATAATGCACTACAGTATATCACAGGGGATGTCTTCTAGGCAAACTTAAGAAAACAGACATATCTTTCAACAAATGACACAGTAAATATAATAGCTCAATAGTTAAATAACACGTTTTTATGGTATCAAGATTTTATTTTGAAATAAATAGATATTTTATACAAACTTTCTTTACATCATTTAATAAATTGTGCACTAAAACAACACAGTTTTGCAGTGTGTGCAGCAAGGAATGATGCATGATTAAATTGAATTAAGATGTCTACATTTCATACTGATTAAATAAATAAAGTTTAGAGAAACTATTACATACGGTGCATTGATGATTTGACTGAACGGAAACTGGTTGTAGAGTAAAAATGTTGCATAATAATGTGTGCAGGGTGTAAACAGGTGCTTAATAAAGCAATTCTGCACTTCTAGAAAGGTAACATTTAAGACATAACAGAAATCATATTTGGCACAGAAACAACTGAAACTATGAATAAAACCTCATTGTAAACACGTCTTTCTCTACATCCTCTCTGTGATTAATAGCTACACAAATAAAAAAAGTTCTGCTATGAATGTAAAAGTTTCATACATCTATCATTATGCAATCTTCTGTGGGAACAATTGAACCACAGCAGCAAGAAAGCAGAGTAAACTTTAACTGAAATATTCTCCCTGCTTCTTCAGGTTACTCACAGGGCAGCTCTCCACATGTTGACAGACCACAGCTCCTCAGAGCAGGTTAACCCCGTGTTTCAGCAGTCTGTGGCGGGCCTTGCCGGGCAGAGAGAAAGCACTGTCCTGGTGGTTAGGGATGCCGGAGTTCCTCAGCGATCCCCCATGCTGCTGGAAGTAAGTTTCCTGAGCCACGCTGCGGGTCCCATACACAGCAGCTCCTGCACTCCTGCGGTGAGAATGTCACATTTACATTTCAAGCATGTAGGATGAGGACATGCAACACAAAAGAGCAAAGTGACATAATAAAGACGTTAAACAAAGAACTTTTGGAGTGTGATGTAAAATACTTTTACAGGGGAAAACTTTTCATTCATCATTGTAACACTGCTGAGTACCCTATCTACCATTTGTTCCGTTCTGTTTCGTACTCAAACAGAAACACATTTCAATTTGGATCGTGTTAATGTACTTTAAAATAGAGGGTCAAAATATTTAAATTGTATTTGAACTAGAGCTGCAATGATGATGATCCAAAAATTGCAGAAATATTGTTTTAAGCCCCTCAAATATGGAGATGTTCTTGTCTCTGTTATATATAATTAGAAAAGATGGAATGGATATCTTTCCATATTTTTCTGTTCTTTTATAGACTTATCCATTAAATTAGAGAATAATCGGGAGCTGTAATTTGGACTTGATTTGACAGCAAATATATTAAGTGTCTGATTCATTAAATATATATGTATCAGAATCATATTGCAGTTTCTATTGGCCCAAACATGATTGGTAGTAACGGACACTCTATTCATTTTGCATATTTGTAGACTTTTTTTTAAAGATACAGCATAATTGCTTTGAGATAAACTGACCTAGTGGAAGATCATGTAGGGATTGTTGTAATGTGATGAAAGACACGATGAACTGACAGATCCAACCCCCCACCCCCGACTTCTACTTGAGGTCTCATGAAAAGTACAAGAACTCCCCCCCCCCCCCCCCCCCCACCATCACATCAGTGCCGTACTGACCTGATAATAGCCTCCTGCAGAGTTTCAGTGTTACAGAAATGCGAGTGAAGGAGTGATGTGGCCCTCACAAAGGGCCGCTCCGGGGCTCCCCCCGGTCGACCAGACAGGTTGGCTGCAGACACACACACAACAACACACTCAGTACCACGTGGCACATTAACCTGGACAGGCTGCACAAAGGAATCGCAGTCTGACTAATTAGCCGTTAGATCATGCAAAGACAAATATAAACTACCAAGACCCCCTTTAGTCCCCAGGTAGAGATGGGGCAGAAGATACTTACTTACTGTAGAAGAAAAGACAACATACTCTGATTGCAAATAATCAGCAGAGTGAATACAAAACTATACAAAGAAGAGTAAAGAGAGGAAATAGGTCAAAGTATTATAAGAGCCTTACATGTCAGTGTGCTCTGAATGCAGTCAAAATGGGCAAAGATGTAGGGTCCTGGAGTGCCCGGGACCCCAGGGGAGACACTCCTCAAATGAGCCTCCAGTCCATTGAGTGACGCCAGGCTGCTGTGATACTGGATACAAGCCAGAAAGGAGGAGTCGGTTGTTAGCATCACTAAGCTCACAAACTTAAAGGTCACCTATTATGCAAAATCCTCTTTTTCATGACTTTTATACATAAACATGTGTCCCCTCTGTGTAAAGAGATTCTGAACGTTTCAGGAACAAAGAACCCCTCTATTTTTGTCCTGATCCATTTATATAAAAACCTGTCTGAAAATGAGCTGATCGGACTTTGGCCACTTTGTGATGTCAAAATGTTTTTTTGGGTTGTGTAACCATTAGCCAATAACCAACCAAGGTAACCCCTGCCCACCTTATCACCTGAATCACCTCCTAGAGCACCATTATGCTTTTTTAAAACCAAATATCTCTCAGAGGGGCGTGGGGAGGGCTCCTTATTTTCATCTAAAGTAACAGACACTTTTGAAACAGGGCTGAAACAGAGGGGATTATGGGATGCTACAATGGGTGATCTGTTTGGTATTTCGAGCCAAACACTTCAGAGACATGTTTTGTATATATCTGAGACCTATAATATATTGATGAAAAAGAGTATAATAGGGGACCTTTAAAGTAATTAATATGAGGGCTGCTTTTTTTTTTCTTACCACTTCCTCCATAGAAGCTTTGTCGCTTAAGAAGTGCGGCTCCACCAGCAGAGCCAGCACCAGGCCTTTGACCCTGTGCAGGTACAGCGTCATGGGGATCAGTGGACTCTCCCCTGGGTGCTCGAAAGCATCGGAGCGAGGAGGATCTGGCCTCTCTACCTCGTGGCCCTGAACTCTTCCACAGCCACGTCCGCTGACCTCTTCAGAAACCTTGTTGTCATGTGACTCCTCAGCTACTCTGAAGTTAAACTCTTCCCCACAAGCTCCATCGACTCCACCTCCATTTAGATGGGAGTTTTCTCCAAACGCTGAGCTGTCTCCACCGTTATCTATCTGACTGCCTCCCTCTCCGTTGCTGTGAAAGCTGTGATAGTACGACTCCTCCAGCGACTCCTCCTCAGGGGATTGTTTCCCGTTTGAGAGAGGAGGCTCGAGAGGCTGCGGAGGGGGTGGATTGGGGGTGCTTTGTGATGGATCTGAGCTATACACAGAGCTTTCTGACAGGTGAGGGCTGAGGAGCTTCTGGGGAGACTGGGAGGATCCTGGATCAGACGGCTCTGACTCTGTGGAGGATGGAGTGTCGGATAACGTTCTTGACAGGCGGGTCTTCTTTAAGGGGGTGTTTTTGTGTGGAGTAGAGTGGGAACTGGTGGGTAGAAAACAGTTTGAGACACTCAGAATTTGCTGGAAATATAACACATTTTAGAGAGCTTGTGTAAGGGTGTTTTCACAGTACATTTGGATAGTCCAAATGAGTTGATTTTGGTTTGTCTGGGTAACAAATTAAAGTAGACAGAATTACACACGTACAAAGGATCAGAGACAAAAAGCAACACACAGAAGCCTTTACCATCGGTCAGAAGTTAAGCGTTGGAAAACTAATTTGGGTGCAAGTTTTCAAATTCAAAGAAATCCCAGACAGCCCAGAGTTCGATTAAAAGAGGATTTAATGTTTAAATTAAGACACATACTTTATGTTATTCAAACTGAAACTCAGAGCAGACACTACCTGAAATCTTTGTCGACGGGGGTGGACTGCAGGTACTGAAGTTCAGACGGGGTCAGGAACACAGTGGTGGAGCTGACAGCGCTGCCAAATGAGCTGCTCTGTCCATTGGGTCTCTGGGGCTGAAACCAAATCAAAACACAGACTTGAGACTTTTTCTAAAATAAATAGTTTGTAACATTTAGGTAAATACAATATTTGGCCTTCCTGTCAAGAGTTATATGACAAGATCAATACCACTATAATGACTCACAGAATGTTTGTGTAGCTGGAGCCATCAGCATGTTAGCTTAGCTATTGCAGTCCCAAATTGCAAAACATACCATTAAATGTCTCGGAAAATGTGATTTACTAAAGCGGGTCTGAAGTTGTCCCTATAAAAGGTCCTTTGTTGTTTTAAGCAAATCACATATTGAATTAAATAAATGGCCACTTGTTAGGGGATTATTTTTCTATTTCAACTGTTTTAAAGCCTTGATGAGAAAAGCTTAAGACTGTCCTACCTTTGTGTATGTCTCACTCTCATGAACCATTGCCTTCATTGTGAGTTGGGGAGACATCTGTGTGCTTACAACTCTGTGGAGAAAAGTCAGATTTCAGGAACAAAAAATTACATATAAACAATTCGACTGACAGCTGGCAACAGTGGAAATGTCAGCTCACCTTCCTCTGAAAAGAATACAGCCTGCTAACACCAGAGGGCAGCGCTGACAGGCCTGAAGAATGAGGGCAGCTTTGAGCAGCAGAAGGGGGTCAACCTGGGGATAAGAATTAAAAATGTAAGCATGCATGTCTTGTAAAAGCACAACAACTGAAAGGTGACAAATATATTGTTTATAAGATAATAACTTTAACACTTATTGAAAGTGTTACTTACAAAATGTGCACATTTTTACATTGTTTCAACCTTTCAATTTCGCCAAGAGCTCAGAATATCCCGGATTTACTGGCATTTGGTTGTTAGCTTGTGCACATCTGTAAATGTGTTCTCTATCTGCAATGAATGTGCAAAAACGTTGCTAAGACACACTGAAGACTTATACTACACCACAGGACATTGTGACATTCACATCCTGTTTGAGGTTAGCTGTATGCAGGAGGAACTTATGATACTATTGCAGGTTACATTTAGAATGGTGTGCGTACATTAGTTGAGTCGATGGTCTTCAAGCAGCTGAAGATGTGCTGAAGCTCTGAGGATCCTGACTCCAGGTGGGACAGATACTGAGCCCAGCGGGACGCCAGGGTCTCCTGACTGTTCAGCTGCAGCGCAAAACAGAGTTTCAATTACAAAAAGCATCTTTGAAAATACACAAATTTAAAATAATTCAAACTAAAATGAAAAAGCAAATAAATAAATGAAAAGTACCTGCTAGTTGAGACTGAGAGTGAATAATAACCTTGTTTCCTGAGTTATGTAACTTTTCGACAATTTTAACTGATGCTGTGCAAAGAATTCTGTCTTTTCATGTATGTATATTTAGCTTCTTATATTTTATATTATTTTACTTAATATCTCCACTTGTATTTCTTATCTATTGTAAGCATATAGCACAAATGTATTTCTATAAGAATAAAATCCTTATTTTTGTTGGTCTACAACTAGATGCAAGTCTTTCTTAAAAAAACAAACAAAACATCTCTGTGCCACAAACCTGGCTAAACAACTAAACAAGACTTCTATAATATAAGACTACTAGACAACTGAAAAGTGCACCTGGTAGCTGTGTCTGACGGAGCCGTTGTAGAAACAGAAAAGGTTTATGAGCTGATCCAGGAGCTCACAGACACTGACGGTGGGGACTTCCACTGAGCAGCCCAGAGCCTGCAACACACAAAAAATGTGCTTAAAATTAAAATCAAAGACTTAAAAGTGAGAAACATCTTGAAAATATCCAGGATTGTGCTCACTCACCCAAAAGAAATCATCTTCCATGCGGATGGCAAACTTGTTGCGGTGCAGGTTCAGGATCCGCACAGGAGAGGACGAGAGTTCAGAGACACAGCGACCCGCGCCCGCCAGCTGACCACAGAGCAGCTCCTGCCGATCTAAAGGGGTCTGACAGAAACATACACAGGAATCAACCCCAAAAACAGGGACTTCAAAAACAAACATTATCATACTCAACAGTACAACCACAAATTAAAAAAGGACAAACCTCTTCAGGGTAGAAGTAACAGATTCCCTCTCTTGTTTGGTCGCTCTCTCCTCTGACTTTGGATCCATCATAGAGGAAGAAATAATTACACCTGCAAAAAAAATACAGAAATAAATTAGATCTTCAGTGAATGACCAGAGAGCAAACAGTGTGTCCAAGGTTTCCCTGGACACACTTTATACTAGAGAATAAATACATGAAATCCCTTTAATTGATAAGGTTATTAACAGGCAGCTTTAGTGATGCTCATCCTTCAAATATTATGGCTAATGATTTTTATATTATTATTGCTCAGTTTGTTTTATTGCGAGTTGCATGGTATGATGAGAATGTGCTAGAACTGATAGTCTATTTTATTAAAAAAATAAATGGAAGGAATTGTTGTTTTTAACTGAACAAATAAACCATTAAGTTGAACACAAATGCACTTAAAAGATCAGGATATGGGTTAGATGTAACTATCTACAGACACAGAGGGGACTGTTAATGGACCATTCTGCAGAGTATGGTAAATAGAGCATAAAAAGTCTCATCAGAATCAAAGTTATAAATGCATTTCTTCTCATCCCCCAGATGGGGTAATTTCATGTTGTAATAGTATCTCCAATTTAGAATAAAATAAAACAAAATATTGTACATAAACAAGGAGAGGTTAAAGCAAAATGTGAACACTGTAAAACTGTTTAATACCAAATGTGAAAAACAGGATTTTAACAGTGGTGGAAAAAGTACTACTACTTTACTTGGGTAAAAGTAGAATTACTATGGTCTTGAAATACTCCACTAAAGTCTTATTTAAGTGTTGATTAGGCCTACATTTCTCATCAAGAATCCAAATCTGAAAAGTAGAATACATGTTAAGGAGTAAATGTACATAACCTCTGAATTCTAGTGGGGTATAAGTACAAAGTAGCAACACATTTAAATACTCAAGTAAAGTACAAGTCCTTTACAATTGTAAAGTACTTGAGTAAATGTACTTCGTTACTTTCCACCACTGCGTATTGCACAGTTACCTTCTTGAGTCTGGCAGCACTAGCTCCGCCATCACCGACACGAAGCCCAGAGAAAGATAAATGTTCCTCAGTCATCAGTCATCTTGTATCCATGTATTTCCAACCCGACAGCCTGAAGATGAAAACGGAAAAAAGAAGTGAAGACTTCAGCTGCGAGTCCGAGAGAGATGTTTACTAATCCTCCAAAGTTACTAAAAACATCTGTTACAAGTCATACAGGTGCCGGAGGAAAATGTGCACAATAGGATGGTGGATAAATGTTTTTCTTCCACTGTTTATGTTGTATTCGCCACGAAAATTAGCCACTTTGACAGAGTAGTGCTGCCAATTGAGGAATGCGGGTCAGTCACGTAGTGAAAGTCATGTGAAAGTATGGCGAGCTTTAAGGGACAAACAAGTGCGCCATTTAGAATCGACAGAACATTCAACGAGCCGTACATTGTGGTACAAGAAATACAACTTACTTTTTAACTTGATTTTAATATTCTGTATAGGCAGCATTTACACAAGTTACAATATTTGTTATTTTAAGTATATCATTATTTATGAATTAGCTGTTACATTATGTCGTAGCTAATATTTATTTACTTTTAGGCATATTAATTGTTAAACGTGTTTTAGCCCTTTTTATGATGACATTATGCTTTCTATGTAAAATCTTGATCTTCTAGCCAGGCGATCCTTGGCCCTCATTACCAAACAATATGTTTCAGTCAAATGTAGGCTAACTGAAGTAGGTAGCCTATATGCAATTGTATTAATAAAATGTTTTAACTTTTCTTAAATATGCTTAGGCTACTATATGTAAACAATTCGAGTCTCATAAAAGGGGCTATGCCTTGTGCGAGTGTAAAATCTGGCCCATTTTATTGCATTTATGTACGGTAGGCTATATATAATATTCTTCTTATGCAATGTCTTCATTATGACACCAACCATAACAAAAATGAACTATTTGAAACAAGTAAAGCTCTATGTTCCACCCTACAGCATGTGCTCAAATTGAAGGTTGTATTTACTTTGGACCTTGAACACATTTTTAAAGGAAACTGGATATGATTTTATAAACTACAGGGGGCTCTGTCAGAACAATGACACTTTTATTCACAGTAAGATTAAGGTTTGTTCAAAGAATAATAAGAAAACAAATGACTTAAAATGGGATAAACGGTATGTGTAATTGCTCTGAACAACTATGTAATGCTACCTGCATATTTTAAATATACATGAAACAGTAATCCTGCTTCATATGATCAGAATACATTGATCTTTACCATGGGCCGAGCTCTAGAAATATGAATCCTGTTTTCAGAGCTCGATAGAGGATGTCTTCAGATGTTGAGCGTGCACGCGCAGCTCAGTCAGCCAATTACTGAATTTAAGTCAAAGTTGAGTGAGCTGCTCTCGAGATAAATCTGCAGATATGTAGCAACCAAGTCGGGTCAGGTTTGTACCCTAAATCGACTTTTAAATTGTTGCAGGGTAAATGCGGAAATGCTGTTCTTAAAGTGTCGCTAAGCACTCCGCCATCTTGAAAATTGCGCAAACATCCGTGAAGTCATGCGTGCACCTCGGAGAGAACGTGCACAGGATTTCAAGAGGATGTAAAAATAAAACAGTACGACCGGGCAACCTTTCAGGCTCTTGTTTTTGTAGCTGGGCCCACTCTTTAACTACAGATTTACAACAAAACGGCAACAAAAGTTAACTTAACAAATGTAACATTAAAGACACGCAACAGACTTATCCGACCAAAATAACATTAATAAGGGCAAGGCTGCCCAACATTCAACATTGTCTCCCTAACCATTTCCTGGATATCGAAAATAAATTGTTACTTATAGATTAGAGTTACAGAGTCCCACGATTTAATGAGGTTACACTGAAGCTCTCTAATGTTGACCAGTCAAATACATAATTAAATCCCACAACAAATGTGTATGCAAAGGTGTTGAACATTTTGTCTTGAGTGAATGTAATGTTTTGTTATGTTAAATGTGTGTTCCCTTGTTTCTTGTCCCCAATATTTCTCTTTGTTGATGCAAATGGAGTTGCTGCGATGCAAAAAAAAATTCAGAAGACTTGATTAGACAATAAATTATAAAGAAAACATCAAATAATAAAATTGGCAGTGTTCAGTAACAGTGCATTCAGACAAAGGCAATTTATTACAATTCTCCGACCTGAAATATTGTTTTTACACATAATAATAATAATAAGAAAATAAACCATGGTCACATAAGCTGCTTATCAAGTAATAACATTTCTTTCTCTATTTTCCTCATCTTCAGTGCTCTGTATGCCATCTGATGGTCCCGGTTCTCCATCTCCGTCTTTAGGTAGTTGCAGTAAAGCGCCCGTATGTCTTCTGTATGCCTCTGAAAGCAAAATGAAACAACACATTAGCTCATATTGGTTTTGGTGTTCTCTAACTGTTATCGTACCAAAGCCCAGTATTGACACTTAACTCACCGCTTCTCTTCTGCCACCGGTTGTAGCACACGCTGAATTAGCCTTCTCCTGGAAGCTGCTATTATGCAAAACCTATAAGAAAAACAAACATTAAATCAATTACTCAAGTCTTGTAGTTGTACTAAACTTGAGCCTAATCTTGTCGTGCCACTTTCTTCTTTTCCTCCGCTATATTTAAGAGGTACATTTTGTACTTTTTGCTCCACTACCTTTGTCTGAAAGCCTTAACAAAATATAACAAAATTAAGATATTTGCAATTGAAGAGTATGTTAAAGAAAGCACATTGTTGCACAAAAACATTTCATGGTTGCAAGATCTCAAATGTGGGCTGTGGGAAGTTATCCATAGTAAGATTAATCCTTATTAACAGTTCTGTAAAACATGGTTAAACATGCTTCACCTCAGCAAACAGTAAAATCCTGCTTTTATACTAACTTATAAGTAATGATAATCTTAAGGGGACAGTTTTTTATGCTTTAATTTTCTTTAAGCACATTAAATAGATTTTACTTACAAGCTTTATCTTCAGTAACATCTTCAGTGTGTAAATCTTTAACTTGTGGTGTAAGTGGTTTTACTCAAAGTTGGTATCTGAACAGTTCTTTCACTAATGTGATGTCAACATGTTTAGAAGTACTTACCCCTTCAAACTGAGAGTCACTGACGTCGGTCTCGTCACTGCTCACACTCTCTGGTTCTGTCTTAGTTATCGGCAGGAGGAGGACGGGATGGCCTGAGACTGCAGGGGTGGGGCACAATATTGAGTTAGATAATAGAAAATACTTCACCAAGTTTTAATCTGACATTAAATACACCTACCACTGATAAAAGAGCTTTCAGACCCCGTCAGTGGCTCAATAAAGGCACCCCCAGGAAGGACCTCCACTCTCAGCCGGCCGTCTTTGTGCTGCAGCACGTCCTCCTCTGCAGAGGTCAGCGACGGGGTCCCTGGTTCCCCCTGGTTCCTCAGCACCTCCACCTGTCTTCTTTTTGCTTCACAAGAACATTTTGAGAGGCAAAACTGTTGGTGGAAGAAGCACTAAGACCTTTACCTCCGATAAATGACTAGCGCTGTAGATATTCCTACTACAAGTAAAAAATACTGCATTTAAAGCCATACTCATGTCAATATTATCAGCAAAATGTCCTTTTCCTCTGAGTGTTTTACTATAATATAAGATACTTCTGGGTTATTTGAGCTTTCTTGGACTTGCAATTGCATATAAATAAACAATGTTTTTATTTATACTGTTACATACATGTATTTATTTATTCTTATTATCCTGTGTTTCTCTGTAATTGTTATTCACACTTATATTAATACTGCATTAATGTGTATTATGGATTTTACTGTAGATATAGCAAATTTGAACTTCTTTAGATACTATTGGTTAGTTAAATCTGCAACAGCAATAAATCATATTCCATAAGGGAACCATTGTAAAGGAAGACTTGCAATAAAGTTACCTGTTTGCACGATATTCTTATGTTTGACTTTCACTTGCTGCCACGTTCTTTTGAAGCCACTGTCCGAAACCCTAAGAAGTCATGAAAATAATAAAAAGATTATATATTAATGGGAAGGTGAAGTATAGAGACTAATATTTCAAATTAAACTAATGGAAAGGTGAAGTATAGAGACTAATATTTCAAATTAAACTAATTAATTCAATTAATTTCAAATGATTTTAACTCATGTTAAGTAGGCTAAAATTACAAAAAAAGAGAAGAGAATGAAAATATATAAAGTGTATCAATCATTAAAATTAAAAACGACATTCTACATTTAATTATTAACCCATTTAGATAATTATGTCTTACGTGTTTATTTTATCAGCAATTCTCTGCCAGGATTCCTCTCTCTGTTTGGAGGCGGTGGTGGTGTTAGATTTGGCTGTCAGTATTTCTCTCTCTTCTTCATACAACTTCAAGATTAGTTCCTGCTCTTTGGAGCTGAAGAAATGTGCCCTCTCGTTTCTTCTCATCTGTAAATCTGAAAATAAAAACACGTACACAAAGGAAGTGTGAAGATGCATTTATGAGAGTAAAAAGAGTATTATTTATATATAGTTTGTGATGCTATGAGATGATCCTCACCTCTTTCTGTATTCATGGAGCTTGATTCGGTTTTCGATTGCTCTCCCCTATGAGGCTGAGCGGGTACGCGCAGTTATCCGAGATGTTTCAATGCTAGATTTAGTAATCAAAACGTAACCGTGTCTTAACCCCTACGGTGATTAAAAGGAACAAATCCGATTTTATTAGAGGCGTTGGTTCGTCACGGCACTCTTCACATTATTAAATAAGTGTCTAAGTGAAGGAAATAGATAAACATTACCCGAGTTATGAAGCTGGATATCTGCTAGCTTTGTTAACCCAGGATTTTCTAATTCGGCTTAACGCGCGTTCACGTGAAAGAGGTGGAGTCTGTAAGAAAGAGCCAGGAACGTGAAACAGGGACATTTCGTTTAAATGCAATAAATGTATTATATAAAAAACACAAGGGGAATTCAAGGACTGCAGATGGAAAGTAGCGTTTAGCTATAATCTGGCATATAGCATCTCTTCTCTTTATGAGATTAATATATTTATATGCATGGTCCTTGTTCAATAAAGATATAAGGTCATTAAAATGTCAAATTGTCGGTTGTGAAAATAATATATGGTTTAAATGTATTGATTTTCCTTTATGATGTAGTACTTTATGTACAACGTAGTTTATGTATAAGTGAAATCATTATAAATAATGCCCAGAGTGGCACAATCCACAAATGTTATTTGACTGCTTTTGGGTTACCTGAATTGCACATTTGTACAAGAGCTGATATATAATTCATTGTGTAATTATGTAAAGTAATTAAAACAAATCTAAAAGGGTGAGAATTATGGCACATCACTGTACTGCATTTACTTTTGAATAATGACGTGAAATCAGGTTTGGATCAATCTAGGATCTGCAGGGTCATTAAACAGTACAGAAATAAAAAAGGTGTTTGGAAAGGGGAATGTGATACGATAAAAAACAATGGCTTCATTAAAACTGAAGTAGCTGATCAGATTCCACACATTATGTATACCTTTTAAATTATTTTCAAAAATCCTGGGTTATTTTCACTTTGAGCACAAAATGAATTATACAGCTCTCAACACTCATATGAAAGGGAGCTGTATACTTTTCAATAATCCAAACATCTTTATAATATGATCACAACAAATAACAAATCATTTAAACTTGTTTATTCTTATCTTACCTAGTTAGCATTCTTTCTTTTTATTTATGCATATTTTACTAATCACTCCCCTTTTAAACTTTTTTTTTTTACTGTCCTATAGTAGCCTACACATTGGAATGATTTCTTACTTTATTTTGTACAACTAGGCTATATTAAATAGATAAAGGTGTGCTCTCTAGCTCTCTCTCTGTGTCTCGCTCGCTCACAGAGGCTGTGTGCTCCTCCGTGGCGATGACGGCGTTAAAAAATTATAATAAACATAGGCCTATTTGTAAAGTGGGGGGACACAAACGGGATTTCGAAAAGTATCACGGTTAAACTCCTTATGAAGTGATGAGGTGCCGCTCCACATTGCTTTTCTTCCCGACTGCAACGCTGTTGTGTGTGTGTGTGAGAGCATTTCACATGTGTGTATGAAAGATTTTTACATATGTCTGTAAATGATTTTGGTTTCAGTTGTGTGTGTGAGCAGGCTCGGATTGGCCATCGGGAGAGTCGGGACTTTTCCTGGTGGGCCGCTGCCGTTGGTGGGCCGCTGGCTCTGGCATAGGTGGGCCGTGGACTTTCACAGCGCCGCTGCGCCGGTACCGCATCCGCAAACACGCAGCGGCGCTGTGAAAGTCCACCGCCGTTGCGAGTCTCCGGCTCTAACAGTCCACTACCGCCCGCGAGGACCCAGGTTCGATTCCGGCCTGAGGTCCAAAAAATGTATTAAAAAAAAATAATAGTCTCCCGTTCATCGCGTCCCACCTATCACATCTCTGCGCCCCACCAGTGGGGCGCGCCCCACACTTTGAGAAATGCTGCCTTAACACAACATCAACAAAAACACGACATAAGACAGGAATTGAGGTAATAGTTACTTTAATAATGTTAATTCAGTATCAGGCTGACATTTTTGCTTAATGGTCCAGAGTAAAATTAAATGTTGGTTCAGGTGCCCCATGTTGAGAGCACAGCGGTAAACACAACAGAAGAAGAAGAAGAGTAAACTGAGAGTGGAAGTGTGGTCCAGTAACGCTGAGGGAGGTCTGGTCCCCGGAGAGTCAGGAGGTCTGGAGGAGGGTTTATTCATCGCCCTCATCGCCCTCATAGCCGCCAGGAAGGGCGTTCAACTTAGGGTTGTGGAAAAGGGATTTGGAGCCATCTCCCCAGGGGAAACGCTGCAGGAAAACAAATTGAGATAATAAATAAAATAAGTAAAAAATATTGATGAACGTGGTATCATATCCATACTATATACATCTGATGTATAGTGTATATAGCATATTTCTAATGTATTATCTACACTACTTCATTATCTCTTACCCCATGCTATATATCCAACCATTTATTTACAGAGGCAGAAGAAGTAATCCGATTTTATACCAAAGTAAACGTAGCACTATGTAAAAATAATCTGTTACAAGTCAAATTCCTGCTTTTAAAATCTTACTTAACTAAAGCTACAAAAGTATTGGCATCAAAATAGACTTTAAGAACCAAAAGTAAAAGAACTTCAAGCACAATGGGTCATTCCAATTTAGTACATTTCTTATTATAATTATTGATGCGTTAATGAGTTCATCGCAGCTGGTAAAAGGTTGAGGTTTTTAGCTTTAATTTGAATTACTTTAATTCATATTTTACATTAGCTAATAATCTGACTATCAAATAAATAATGGAGAGAAAGAACAATATCGGCGTCTAAAACTACTAGTGGAGTAGAAGTATAAAGCAACATAATATGAAAGACTAGAGTTAATGTACTTCATTAAATTCCACCACTGTTTTATTTCTATACGTGAAAAATACACTTCACTGCTTTTATCTGGTTAGATTCTAAACTGCATATTGTTGTCTCTGTAATTTTACCCTGTGCAATGACAAATAAACTACACTCCAAAATCATTTTTTTTAAAGTAACATAGAGTCAGACCTTGGTGCGAATCCGAAGGTGGGAATAAGGGATGAACTCTGGCTGTACATAATGCGCCGCATGGTGCTGCATTTTCAGGTACATGTTCAACATGCACACAGCAACAGCCGGGAGTGCGACAAGATAAGTGAGGCGCTTCCATAACTTGGCTGGAAGACAAAAAGACAATAATAATTAGTTTGATAAAATATAGCAATTAGAAGTGCAACCATACTGAGATTGTTAAGAAATTAATGTGCTTTGGAAACAAGAAAAATGGAGGTTCAGTCAATTGTTTCTACACCCAACAAGTGTGACATTATGAAATGTTAAGACAACTTATTGTTGGCCAGGAAACCCCTAATGTGTGCTGTTTACCATAACTAAAATGTTGAAAGGTTAAATGTATGGACATTTCTAATAAAATAAATGATCATTATTAAAATATGTACAATTTATCCGTTTTGAAAATGTAAGCAGTTTTTTCGAGAGTATTGTTGTGCAACAAATATACACTGTATAAGCTTAAAATTCATTTTTGATAAGTTGATATACAAAGTTATATTAATTTAAAGTGTTATTTCTTAAGTGTTGTTTGATGATCATGTATGTCAGGGGCAACATCTCAGCATGTTATGTTAAAGACACCTGTTAACTTAGGTGACTAGTCTCTAACTAGCTGGGTATTATAAACATGATACTTTTATCAGTACCATTTATTTAAACGTTTTTTAGTCTTCACACTATTAACAAAAATAATATAAAAACATAATTTTAACACACACACACACACACACACACACTTCCATCAGGTCATTTCTTTTTTACTTTTCCCACTCTAGCTCAAATCCTCTGCACAAACTATTTTACCTTGACAATTCTTCAATCCCTTTCAATGGTTGTTAACTGTTTTGTATAACTTAATACAAGTTGGGGGAATAACGATAACCTTAGATAGTTATTATCTCCAATGACCTGACGTTTCACTGTTGTTGCTCTTTAGCTTCAGGCCGTAGCTTTACATAATCACTTCTCCACTTTTTAGCCTCGTAATTAGAGCAAAGTAAATAAACAAACATTACATGTAGGAGTTTAGAGGATTTAAAGGAGGTGACAGGCTGAAATGACCACGTCTTCAGGTTGAAAATCTCATGTTTTGGGCATTTCCGCTCAAGGATGTTGTGCTAATGCTAATGCTAAAAGGGCAACGTTAGCTCAACAAGGTCACTGTTAGTTGGCGTTAAAATACATGACATTATATAAAACCAGATAACTAAAATGAGGAGCTTCACTCACTTGCATCAGCATGGCCTTGATCAGCGGTAGCAGAAAGCTGACGCCGGCTCTGGGTCAGAGAAGACTTGAGCAAAGCCTGAGACAAGCGTCCGAGAGCCATTTTTCTTTCAATGAGAAGCAGAGATACCGGAAGGACTTTGTAATGAGGGGTCACGTGGAGGCCCGAAAGCGCTGCTGGGTGACCACGTGGTGAGACTGGGAACTACAGAGACTCCGGATAAAAACTCCAAACTCCAGGTAACTGTTATTGTTCCTGTAGCAGTGAAGTTCTCAGATCATTTACTTATTTATTTATTTTAGTAAAAGTACCAAAAGATTGTTGGAAAAATACTTCATTATTAGTAAAAAAAAACTGAATTCAAAATGTTACTTTAGTAAGAAATTAAGTATTATCAGCTAAATGTACTGAAAGAATAAAAAGTGAAAGTAATCATTGTGCAGACATATGTGTGACATTTCTAGATAGTATTGTTGCATCGCATAGCATTTTACTGTTGAACACATTTCTGATTAACTTAATTTATTGATTCATTTTTTATTATTCATTTAGTTAAAAGTATCTAAAGCTGTTAAATAAATGTAATGGATTAAAAAATATATATATTTTCCTCTGGAATTTAGTGGAGTAGAAGTATAAAGTAGCATTAAACGGAAAGAATCAAGTACAGTTCAATTATGTCCAAATAGTATTTAATACAATACTTGCTTTGAACTGTCTGAAATGAATTGTTGCAGGAGCCTGGGATTTAGGATTTTCATTGCCAAAACAACGCTGTATTTATTGTGCATATGAAAATAAAGACTTTGTATCTTTGTATCAAGTGTAGCCTAAATCCGGAAGATTATTTGGGGTCAGGAACAAGGCAACAAAATGAGAAGAGGAAGATGGGTTTTATTTTGCAATTAGAGATTAAAGTGGAATAATGGTGAATTACTAGAATATTCAGTAGCCTAATGCCTATTTCACAAATGGTTATTCTTGATAATTTGCCTTTATTCATGATGTTTCAACCTCATTCTCTTTACGTTATTCCAAACATTTTATTGTTTACTGTATTGTTAACATTTCGACTTAATCCTGGTAATGATATTTCACTTTATTTGACACATTTTGACTTTATTTCATAGTTTACTTTATGGTTGATTTTCCCATATGCTTGGCCTACAAGGTGGGGTAGGTACATTTGAGAAAACGGCTCGAGATCGCCAGAATTTGAAAATACACAACCGGAGAAAATCTGCCACTTCCTTATAGAGCCCCTCCTCCAACACACACGAACGCGCACATGACCAATGAGGGCACGAGATAAGTTTGTGCACAGATGGAAGGCTGACAGGCAGGTAGGCCATCCAGTTATTTTAGCCGGGCCGGCTAAAATGATTGGTCGTGCTTGTATTACGGCTTCCACAGATTACATTTTTTTATGGATTTTTTGTCAAAGCATTTAAGATATTCATTGCTATCGGGATGTTAAGAGCATTCCATGGAATATAACAAAAAGTGTATCTCGAGCCGGTTTCTCAAACGTACCTACCCCACCTTTAATACGCATATTTATGAATGTAAATATAAGTAGAAATGTAATGGTAGTTACTGTTGAGTTTTATCAAATAAAAATAAATGTGTCACTTCACCAGAGGTACAAGGACAGTTGAACTGAATAGAGAGGGAACCTTACAAAGAATTCTTACACAATCTTTAACGAAACCTTGCATTATGTTTCTCGTACTTTAAACAAATGAAGCATGAAAAAATACATTGTCAATGATTCAAACATACAATGATACCAAGAGAGAAATGAATGTGTGCAGTGTAACAAAGTTGTTCACCTAATTTCTCTTTCCCCCCTCCAAAAAAAACTGTGTGCATTTTGGGTAAAAGATATACAGTATTATATGGAACAGAGCAAACTCTTACTTCCTGTGTTTGATTTCATGGTCAGAGTCCAACAGTGAGATCCAGAGAGATTCTGTCTGATGGAGGTAAGCCATGAATCTTTACTTTGTTGTGTGTTTGTTTGTTTGTTTGTTCTTGAAATTACTTTGCAATCATTCATTTCAAAATTCATACAAATCCATGACTGTATTATGTGCATTAATGTACCAATAACACAAAGAATGAAATACTTAATAGTACAGATATCAATAAAGACAATACTTTTATATAATACATTACAATAACATACAAATACATTTATCTGTATGTATTGGAGCACTTTTGTTTATTATACAGTATAAAGTCGAGAATTGTCTTTTATTTATTGAGCCGTTAATAGTTAACATGCGGCTTGAAAACAAACATGACGTTTTAGGTGACCTCTTATTTTCGGAAAGTTTCAAACGACAACAGACTGAATATTTGTAATACACTGACACATCAATACACTTTGATTTGAACTTTGAAATGACAGCAACATACTGTAGGTATAAATATTAGTTTTGTATTCACTTCATAAGAAGTATTTTTAATAAAGTATTTTCTGAATTATTTCAGTAATGGAGTCTCAGTATCAGCAGTTTGGATCGTCTGGTAACAGCCCTGTCCACGGAGAGACACAAATGACTGCACAAACAGGTAAAACGTGTAAATGTTTTATTTTATTTGTATGAAATAAAGTCACATTCAACTATTAAAACAAATGTGTTGGTAGGTATGAAGAGGATCCTGGTGTGGGTCCTCTATGGAGTCCTGGTGCTGCTGCTGCTGATCCTGCTGATGGTCACTGGGATCAAATGTAACACCTCCAGCTGATTCATTATTCATGAAGCTAATTCACTCTCGTCTTATCATGTAACTATTTCTGTTTGTGTCTCAAAGTCTCCCAGCTAAACAAGGAAATCACTGATGTCAAACTCAACCTCAAGAGGATCATCAACGGAGGAGCAGCATTATCGCCCAGTTCTGGTTAGGGAACGTTTTTCATTTCTGGATCAAATAAATTACAATAATAATGTAAAGGTGATGAGTGGCATTACTGAGAAAAATATAAATAAATTACAGTTACAAATCAAAATGTTTTTCATTACAAATGGGTTTGGTAAGCAGCTTAAATGCAGAATATAATGTCATGTTTTTCTGTTACTATGGTCCAACTTTAGTTCAAGTTCTATCAAGCACATTTTAATAAAGTTTATCAGTCATCAGTGTTAAGTGATGTTGTGAGGTTTGTACTGCTTTGTTTGAGTTTGTTTTTAGGATCTTTAATCTTAATTGCCCAGTTTAATTGATCATATTAAATAAATTACATTACTTTCATGAAGTAATTTAAATCACTTATTACTTTACTTAATAACACAATTTTATATCAATCTGTAACCTATTACATTTAGAAAGTGACATATAATGATGTAAAATTGCTGCCCTTGATTTAACTTAGTATTTTTCGGTTTCCAAACAAAGGTGAAGCAACTGAGCAGGAGGTCTCTTTACCGACACTTGTCCCGGTTCGAGGTAAACACTGCCTAAAATTAGATTTCAGTGTTGTTGTGGTTTTGGAATAAGACTTGTACTAATCTTCATGAAACCAGGAGCCTGCAGGGAGGGATGGGTTTCTTATGAGAGGAGCTGCTACAAGATATCCACCAACTCACTGACCTGGAGCAAAGCGGAGGACCAGTGTCGAGCACAGGAGGGACACCTGGTGGTTCTGAATACTGCGGAGGAACTGGTGAGGTTTATTTATTTCAAGTGGAGCTGTCTTTTGTTTTGCTGATGTATTCCTTCACTGAATGGTGGAAGAAGTACTCAGATTATTTTAATAAATGAAAGTATAAATACAATGGTTTAAAAATACTCCATTACAAGTAAAACGCGTGGATGCAAAATGTTTCTTAAAGGGGCCCTGTTATGCTCATTTTCAGGTTCATATTTGTACATTACATTACATGTTACTTGTTAGACGCTTTTATCCAAAGCGACACATACTCAATACTGTGGGCAATCCCCACAGGAGCAATTTGGGGTGAAGTGTCTTGCCCAGGGACACAACGACATGCTGACTGCAGTGGGGTTTGAACCTGTGCTCCCTGATCCGAACACCAACGCACTAATCCACTGCGCCACATACCTCCATATTTGTATTTGGTGCCTCTACTGTGACATGTTTACTTTAATGATCAAAATGTCTTTATTTTGTTCTCATACTGCCTGTGCTGCAGCACCTATTTTCACCCTCTGTCTGAAATCAGAGCCAAGTCTGCTCTGATTGGTTAGCTGGCCGGCTCTGTTGTGATTGGTCAACCGCTTAGAGATGTCCCGCCCCTAAGCCTGTTGGAGTGTGTGTCAGACAAACTCCCTCTGGAGGGAACTTTGGGATTGTAGTCTTTGCAGACCATTTACATGCACCAAAACCAAAACCTATATAACACACTACAGAGAAGGGAAAACCCTAAAAAGCATAAAAGTACTGCATCAGATCAGATAAGCATCTGTTTTAATATGTTGAAAGTGCAAGTGTTAAATATTTTTAGTGAAGTACAATACCTACCTCAAAAATGTAGTGGCGTAAAAGTATGTTTTGAATAAATTGGAAAGTATTTTAGAAAAGAAAGTATTACTTGAGTGATTGTACTTTGTTAGGTTCAACCAGGGACTGTTTGAATGTGCAAATACAGGCTCTGATAAGGAGCACACAAAAACAGCAAAGGCCTCAATTAACCTTTTGGTGTTCTCTTTTTTTTGTTTTTATAGGACTACATTTCAAAAGTTGTTGAAATCAGATACAATTATTGGATTGGACTTGTGGAGCGAGAGAGCGAGGGACACTGGAGCTGGGTGGATGGAACGGACATCAACTCAACCCCAACGTAAGAGAAACGTGGAGCAACAATAAAACCCAAAGTAAAAATGACCAAATCATGCACAACTTGATTTGACCGGGTCCACTTTTGCAAAATGACAGGAAGCCAGGGGCAGTGCATACACAAACAAAGATATTTATCAGAAATAATGAGTACTTTTGTCAGGAACACAACAAATGTTGCTTTGAATATCTTTATTTTCAAATAATAAATAACTGAATTACTAGCTTAACTTGTAAACTAAATTACTTATATGGGTTTTAATGTAATGTCCTTTAATGTTAATCACTAGGCCTATATGACATAATTTTAGATTTGACATTATATATGACATTTTAGATTTACTTAAGGCAATCACATCAATGTATTTTCAATGTGAATTAGAAAGTGTTCTGCATGCCCCTTGGCACCACTGAACTACACTTAATGCAGAACATTGTATTTTCTCCTCCTTCCTCTGTTTGTGCTCAGTTTCTGGGATAAAGGTCAGCCTGATGACTGGGACTTCAGAGAGAACGGAGTGGACTGTGGGCAGATTCACGCTTCTGTGAGACGCAAACGCAAGATGTGGAACGACGCAGACTGCAGCCTGACATATCAATATATCTGTGAGAGCAGAGTGTGAGAGGTTCCTCCTTTCAAAGGAGAACGTTTGAAACATGGGGGGGGAGTTGCAAGGGGGGAGGTTGTGGTTGTAATTTGTTTGATCCCGTCAATTTGTGTCTTCCCATGTATTTTATTTTTTTGCAATTGATGACCACGATGGAAATTAATGTTTTTAGTAATGATGTAAAGAGACATCCTCTATAGAATTTATATCTCAATGCCTAATAAAAATCAAATCGAAAATGACTGATGGAAAGTATGTGTTTCCTTGGGCACTGAAACAACACAATATTTATAACCCAGATAATCAACAAAACAAAATGAAATTCAAAAAAAAGGTTTTCTCGTTCATAATGTCACTTCGACAGTACGTGGTTAAATCATATAATACATACATTATAATAGGTATATCAAAGTATCTATATCTGCACAGTACTAATTGTTACAGACATGTGGAGAGGTATGACCTGACCTGCCACACAGAGCCGTTAAAAGGCACTGTGGACACATTGGAGAAATCCCACCATGAAATCTAAATGGCTCCTGAGGATGAAAACATGTATTTTTGTTCTATTTCTAAATACTCACAGTCTGGGAGGCTGCGGATTAGGATGAATGGGTCCTCTTGCAGCTAAAGATGTGCAGTGCAGAGCGCCTTACATTAACCCTGACCTATAGAGATGGTCCCTTTTTGGCCAATTCCCAAGAGTCACCTATCTCTTATTCTACATTATGCAACATGTATGCACACAGGAGTGTAGTCATTGGTGGACACAGATTGTTGACACTGTAACAAATATATTTTCCTTTATTCAAAGTTTAAGTTCAAGTTTGATGTTTCAATAGCCAAAGTGATTTTATTAATTAATAATGAATTACATTTTACAAAGAGCACTACAATATATTGTTTCTTTCTGTGACACTTCCAGCGTCAGTAATGTGCAGTGGAAAGTCGTGGGAACTCTGTTAAAAGTGAGAGCTATTTACACAGCTGTGTGTTGCAAGGTTATCTTAAATGAACTTCTATTTAAAGAAGGAAAACTTGAGTAAGGACAGAGCAAACAGAGAGAACAGAAATAGATCCTTTGATCAGGAAATGTGTAGAATATGGGGATGGATCGAAGATAAATTGTAAATATAATCTACAGGTTAACCTGGGACGGGAGAATAGGTCCTTTAATAATAATAATAATAATAATAATAATAAACACCTTTTTTTCTCCTCAATCTTTTCCTTAGAAATAGCTGGGTTTGAACTTCCCCATAACTTGCATTAAAACGTTACATAATTACATGAAGCATTGTTCTTTTATATGCTAATATGCATTAGCAATTTTTGGTATCTCTTTTCATCACTTCATAAATCAGAAAAATACTGAAATTAGTCATTTAAAAAAATCAAATTTTGCCATGTTATTTGGAATCAATGTTTTCTGAAATGTTATGAAGCATTATCTGCACAAATTATTTTGAGTTCACAGAGACAAAAATGTAGAAGATACACCCCTAATTGTGTATTGTTGATGTTTTCTTTACACTGGTCTCAAGGAAGACATTTCATGGAGGTCTGAGAGACTGATTATATGTACTATTTGCAAACTGTTACACTTGTTATTGAATGTGTTAAATACATGTTCAGGTACACAGAGCACTCATGTTCAAACCTTAGAAAGTAAGTCCTATTTAAAGCTGCCACCTTCTTATCTCCTTCTCTAGTTTTTCTCACCTCCTGTCATTTCAATCAGGAGAGACTTCATTTAGTTTCAAGAACATTTATTGACACATGTCATATGATAAATGTTAAGTCTTTGGCGATTAGACCCCGATCCTGAAATCGTATATCTAAAGGGGAAAATGCAGCCGTGAGCACCTGGTGGTTCTGAATACTACAGAGGAACTGGTGAGGTTTATTTATTTCAAATGGTGCTGTCTTTGGTTTTGCTGATGTATTCCTTCACTGAATGGTGGAAGAAGTACTCAGATTATTTTAATAAATGAAAGTATAAATACAATGGTTCAAAAATACTCCATTACAAGTAAAACGCGTGGATGCAAAATGTTTCTTAAAGGGGCCCTGTTATGCTCATTTTCAGGTTCATATTTTTACATTACATTACATGTTACTTGTTAGATGCTTTTATCCAAAGCGACACATACTCAATACTGTGGGCAATCCCCACAGGAGCAATTTGGGGTGAAGTGTCTTGCCCAGGGACACAACGACATGCTGACTGCAGTGGGGTTTGAACCTGTGCTCCCCTGATCCGAGCACCAACGCACTAATCCACTGTGCCACACACCTCCATATTTTTTGTGGGAATGCTGATACAGCATTCCAACTATCTGTTATGCTACGCACGAAATTCTTTATTATTCCGCCGGGTTATTTTGCGTCACTTCTCCTCCCACATTGAACATCGCAGAAACTCTGTTCAAACATCCAAACGTTCAGCTCGGTCGGGAATCGATGGCTATTACTTTTATCATTCATAACTTTCATAATTCCAGAGATACATCCCATAATGCATCCCATTTTTAACATGGAAGTCAATGGAGAACTCTTCAGACTTCAACAATCTTCATGCAACTTCAACTGCTAACTGCTCCTTCTTCAACTGCTATCTGTTCCTTCATACTTTCACTCAGAAACCTCATTCCAACTTTAAAATGTTACACATCTTTCTGACATTATTCATGTAACACAACTTTTAAATCTGATTCTTACTTTTAGAGATATTAAACATTGTTCAGACCTTGGTAAAGAGGCCTTCTTCAGATTTTAGAGTGCGTGATGTCACAGCTAGAGTGGAGGACAGATTTAATTTTGCCTTCATATTTTCGTTTAAACCTGCCATAATTCCCAAACCCTACATTCCTGAGACATAATTTTTCATGACAAACGTAGGAAAACATCTCGTAGCTTGAAAGATAAAAAAAATTAAGCAAAATAATAAAACAAAATGCCTCTTGAGGGCATGAAGTGACAAAAACTTTCAACATGTCTCCATTAAAACCCATTGTAAATTCAGCGTCACCACAGCAGCCGCACACCTTTAGTTAATCTGCCAAAAAAGGCCACATTATTAACCCGAAAGTATACAAAAAGTACACTTCAGATGCTCAAGTTCCTTGACATGCTTCACGATTTGAAATTTCACCGATATCTGTTTCGGTTCTTCAACAAAACGTTCACATGTAACAGGTTTATCTCTCATTCAGAACAATGAAAATGCTCTCCTCTCACTGATCACCATGGAAACCTTTGATCTCTGGACACGTCGTTAGCTCAAATATAAACACCTGTGTCATGGAACACGATGATGTCATAACTCCAATTGACATAATTATGGCACGTTTCCACTACAGCGCGGAGCACGGTTTAAGAGGGCTGTGACGTCAGCGGCCCGTCTTTGGTTGCGTTTCCACTTGGCCTAGTACCGGCCGGCGGGTCCTAATTCACAGTTTTTCTGGCCTCATAAAATCGCGGGTCTAGGGCCAGAGACAACGAGGCTGAGTCGGGCTGAGTATGCTAAACTAGAGAGAGCATCGCTGGCAAGGGGGCTACAACTACAACAAGATGGACATATTTGACCGTGATTTAATTGTAATACACGTTTCAAAATGATGCCGAAGTAACAACATACTGATACCGGTTAGTAAAAACCATGAATTAATGCTTTGTCAAGTCTGCAGACAGACGGCAGGCGAAAAACCTTTTAAAATGCGTGTTTTCTAAATGGAGATTGGCTAAGCTAACGCAGTATATGCTCCGACCGTCCACACTCACAACAACGGCCTATACAGACATAAATAAAGCAGCGACTGTATTCACCATGACACAGGCAGTCTGTGGTTTGTACTTGTTTAACTTTTGTCTAGTTTCTGAACATATATGAGGAGCTGTGAGCTCTGAGTGCTAACAGCTAACGGCTGTGTTGTTTTTCTGGGGTTCTCATTGAAGAACACGTCACGGCTCCGCCTACACTGCGTTACTATAGATACTACCCCAGTTCCTAAACTGTAATGGAAATGCGCCATAAAGTGAGCCAGTCCTAACGAGGCCCAGCCATACCGAGCGGGGCCGAGCGAGGCCGTGTAGTGGAAACGCGCCATTAGAGCAGCAGACGAATGACGTGGTCACTGGAGTTTAACAGACTGTCCCAGCCTATTCTTTTCCGTCTGATGGAGACTTCATACTGACTTCAACATGTTCCACATATTTTAGACATTATTGGTGACGTATGCTTTTAGTTCTAAAGTTTTCAGTTCAAATATTCTGCTGCTTTTTCATGCATTTGGACTTTTATTTTCTTGTTCTTATTTCACATTCAAGTCCCCTCTATTCATGAACCCTTTAAAGTACTCAGCCACACCACTTATATACCAGGTGCGACTGTTGCTATGTGAGTTAATCTTTCAAATACAAGGTTGCTTGTTTGATTCAAGCTCTTGTAGTCAATATGTCAAGGTATTTATCCCTAACATTTTATCAGCTAACTAATGATACACACTCAGAGGATCTTTATAAACATTTTAAGTATTGCACATCTTTAAACATGACTCTTATAAATCACTTTTAAAACCAGCGATGCACTACAGTGTCAGCTTTTCTAAAATAGAAACTTCAATGTTCACATCTTTCTAAATGATTCTACTTTTCAATGACCTACAAATAATCCTAATAATAATCCCATTTTCAATCTTCCAACTGTTCATATTTTTTGGTCAATTAACAAACCTGTTACAAATGTGTTGTTCAACAAATTTGAGCCTTTGCCACATTTATTTGATCACTATGGAAACCTTTGATCTCTGGACACGTCGTTAGCTCAAATATAAACACCTGTGTCATGGAACACGATGATGTCATAACTCCAACTGACATGCTCAGAGCAGCAGACTTCAGATAATGGTTAATGGTCCTGCCCTCAACAGCTCTACGTCAATTATGGGGTGTCATCATATGCCGTTTCCATGGAAACGCATCCCTCGTCATAAAACACGATGTCGCTGTAACTCCAATGGACACGGTCCGATTGTCCCCCAAACTTCGCTTGTATATCACCGGTCCATGCCTCAACAGCTTTATGCCAAATCTGAGATCTCACCATAGGCTGTTGCCATGGAAGCGCATCCCTCGCCATAAAACACTATGTCGCTGTAGCTCCAATGGACACGGTCCGGTCGTCCCACAATCTTCACCTGTGTATCACCTCTCCATGCTTCAACAGCTCTACGTCAAATCTGACATCTCACCATATGCTATTTCCATGGAAACGCATCCCTCGCCATAAAACACGATGTTGTCGTAACGCCTATGAAAAGGGTAAAAACAGCACCACACTTCAGATAATGGTTAACGGTCCAGCCCTCAACAGCTCTACGTCTATTATGGGGTTTCATCATATGCCGTTTCCATGGAAACGCATCCCTCGCCATAAAAGACGATGTCGCTATAACTCCTATGAAAATGTTCAAAAACTGCTCAAACTTCACATGTGCGCTAACAGTCCAGCCGTGAAGACATCTACGGGACAGTTTTGAGATTTCTTCAAATGCCGTTGCCATGGCAACACAATGCTCGCCATGAAACACGGTTTTCTCATAACTTCAGTGAAAATGCTCCAAATGGCCCAAAACTTCACAGGTTTGGTAACGATGCAGCCATCAACGCATCTAAGCGTATTATGGGATGTCATCAAATGCCGTTGGCATGGCGACAGATCATTCACCATCAAGTTAGTTCAAAAGTTTGCAGTTAAAATATTCTGCTGCTTTTCCAAGCCTTTTTACTTTCTTTTCTTCTCTCATCACACATTCAAGCCCCCAGTGTTCATGTATCATTTCAATCTAAATTCTTCACTTTCTTCTTACACATTACATTTCAGCATAGCAGTTTAGCGTCAGCTTTTCAGCATAAAGCATTCCCACTAGCAATTTCTTCAGGAATTGCATTCTCTAGTTGTATTTGGTGCCTCTACTGTGACATGTTTACTTTAATTATCAAAATGTCTTTATTTTGTTCTCATACTGCCTGTGCTGCAGCACCTATTTTCACCCTCTGTCTAAAATCAGAGCCAAGTCTGCTCTGATTGGTTAGCTGGCCGGCTCTGTTGTGATTGGTCAACCGCTTAGAGATGTCCCGCCCCTAAGCCTGTTTGAGTGTGTGTGAGACAAACTCCCTCTGGAGGGAACTTTGGGATTTCAGTCTTTGCAGACCATTTACATGCACCAAAACCAAAACCTATATAACACACTACAGAGAAGGGAAAACCCTAAAAAGCATAAAAGTACTGCATCAGATCAGATAAGCATCTGTTTTAATATGTTGAAGGTGCAAGTGTTAAATATTTGTAGTGAAGTACGATACCTACCTCAAAAATGTAGTGGCGTAAAAGTATATTTAGAATAAATTGGAAAGTATTTTAGAAAAGAAAGTATTACTTGAGTGATTGTACTTTGTTAGGTTCAACCAGGGACTGTTTGAATGTGCAAATACAGGCTCTGATAAGGAGCACACAAAAACAGCAAAGGCCTCAATTAACCTTTTGGTGTTCTCTTTTTTTTGTTTTCATAGGACTACATTTCAAAAGTTGTTGAAATCAGATACAATTATTGGATTGGACTTGTGGAGCGAGAGAGCGAGGGACACTGGAGCTGGGTGGATGGAACGGACATCAACTCAACCCCAACGTAAGAGAAACGTGGAGCAACAATAAAACCCAAAGTAAAAATGACCAAATCATGCACAACTTGATTTGACCGGGTCCACTTTTGCAAAATGACAGGAAGCCAGGGGCAGTGCATACACAAACAAAGATATTTATCAGAAATAATGAGTACTTTTGTCAGGAACACAACAAATGTTGCTTTGAATATCTTTATTTTCAAATAATAAATAACTGAATTACTAGCTTAACTTGTAAACTAAATTACTTATATGGGTTTTAATGTAATGTCTTTTAATGTTAATCACTAGGCCTATATGACATAATTTTAGATTTGACATTATATATGACATTTTAGATTTACTTAAGGCAATCACATCAATGTATTTTCAATGTGAATTAGAAAATGTTCTGCATGCCCCTTGGCACCACTGAACTACACTTAATGCAGAACATTGTATTTGTTTCTCATCCTTCCTCTGTTTGTGCTCAGTTTCTGGGATAAAGGTCAGCCTGATGACTGGGACTTCAGAGAGAACGGAGTGGACTGTGGGCAGATTCACGCTTCTGTGAGACGCAAACGCAAGATGTGGAACGACGCAGACTGCAGCCTGACATATCAATATATCTGTGAGAGCAGAGTGTGAGAGGTTCCTCCTTTCAAAGGAGAACGTTTGAAACATGGGGGGGAGTTGCAAGAGGGAGTAGGTTGTGGTTGTAATTTGTTTGATCCCGTCAATTTGTGTCTTTCCATGTATTTTATTTGTTTGCAATTGATGACCACGATGGAAATTAATGTTTTTAGTAATGATGTAAAGAGACATCCTCTATAGAATTTATATCTCAATGCCTAATAAAAATCAAATCAAAAACGACTGATGGAAAGTATGTGTTTCCTTGGGCACTGAAACAACACAATCTTTATAACCCAGATAATCAACAAAACAAAATTAAATTAAAAAAAAAGATTTTCTCATTCATAATGTCACTTCGACAGTACGTGGTTAAATCATATAATACATACATTATAATAGGTATATCAAAGTATCTATATCTGCACAGTACTAATTGTTACAGACATGTGGAGAGGTATGACCTGACCTGCCACACAGAGCCGTTAAAAGGCACTGTGGACACATTGGAGAAATCCCACCATGAAATCTAAATGGCTCCTGAGGATGAAAACATGTATTTTTTTTCTATTTCTAAATACTCACAGTCTGGGAGGCTGCGGATTAGGATGAATGGGTCTGATTCCTCTTGCAGCGAAAGATGTGGAGTGCAGAGCGCCTTACATTAACCCTGACCTATAGAGATGGTCCCTTTTTGGCCAATTCCCAAGAGTCACCTATCTCTTATTCTACATTATGCAACATGTATGCACACAGGAGTGTAGTCATTGGTGGACACAGATTGTTGACACTGTAACAAATATATTTCCTTTATTCAAAGTTTAAGTTCAAGTTTGATGTTTCAATAGCCAAAGTGATTTTATTAATTAATAATGAATTACATTTTACAAAGAGCACTACACTATATTGTTTCTTTCTGTGACACTTCCAGCGTCAGTAATGTGCAGTGGAAAGTCGTGGGAACTCTGTTAAAAGTGAGAGCTATTTAAACAGCTGTGTGTTGCAAGGTTATCTTAAATCAACTTCTATTTAAAGAAGGAAAACTTGAGTAAGGACAGAGTAAACAGAGAGAACAGAAATAGATCCTTTGATCAGGAAATGTGTAGAATATGGGGATGGATCGAAGATAAATTGTAAATATAATCTACAGGTTAACCTGGGACAGGAGAATAGGTCCTTTAATAATAATAATAATAATAATAATAAACACCTTTTTTTCTCCTCAATCTTTTCCTTAGAAAAAGCTGGGTTTGAACTTCCCCATAACTTGCATTAAAACGTTACATAATTACATGAAGCATTGTTATTTTATATGCTAATATGCATTAGCAATTTTTGGTATCTCTTTTCATCACTCCATAAATCTGAAAAATACTGAAATTAGTCATTTAAAAAATCAAATGTTGCCATGTTATTTGGAATAAATGTTTTCTGAAATGTTATGAGGCATTATTTGCACAAATTATTTTGAGTTGACAGAAACAAAAACGTAGAAGATACACCCCTAATTGTGTATTGTTGATGTTTTCTTTACACTGGTCTGAAGGAAGACATTTCATGGAGGTCTGAGAGACTGATTATATGTACTATTTGCAAACTGTTACACTTGTTATTGCATGTGTTAAATACATGTTTAGGTACACAGAGTACTCATGTTCAAACCTTAGAAAGTAAGTCCTATTTAAAGCTGCCGCCTTCTTATTTCCTTCTCTAGTTTTTCTCACCTCCTGTCATTTCAATCAGGAGAGACTTCATTTTGTTTAAAGAACATTTACTGACACATGTCATATGATAAATGTTAAGTCTTTGGCGATTAGACCCCGATCCTGAAATCGTATATCTAAAGGGGGAAATGCAGCCGTGAGCATTATAGGGAACCCCCCCGGGGTCTATAGACACTGGTGATGATGCTGAAGATCTGGATTTGATGAGGAGATGGGATGAAGAGGAGGTGTGATGAGGTCTTTGGATTAGCTCTCCTGGCACTGGATATGATGAAAGGAGGTGGATGAGGAGGAGGTGGATGGGGAGGAGGCGGGCGGCAGCATGAAAACCTGAAATCACAGCTGACTGCAGGAGAGAGGAGAACCATTTTAAAGTTTTAAAGCACAGTGATTGGCTGCTGGAGAATGAGGTGAATGTAATAGGTTATAGACAACACCCGTGATGAGCAGCTGCGGAGTGAATGTATATATACCCAGTCTTCCTGAAAGAACTTGCGCTGAGCTTCATATAAATAACCGGCTGCACCAAAGTTGACGTTCTTCTCACTGCAGCCATGAAGCTGACGGCTCTTCTGCTGCTTCTCACCGGTAAGACACTTTGTACCACTCTTTAAAATAACACTTATTGTAAATAGGCTTGTGTAAATATCTATAGTACTCTTTTATGTATTTTTTTTTATTCTACTGAGGAATCTTGGAGCCTCTTTCCAAATATATCCAAAACAAGATTGTAACAAGAGCATGGTAGATGCCGGCAACTGTAAAACCCCACATTGTAGAGACACATTTGTACATGTATTACCTTATTTTAGTGTCTGTACAATGTATTTCTACATAGTGTATTGTAATTTTATAAAATAGAAAGCTGTATATTTTAATTGCACTGCACATGTAGCCCAACCATGGACAAGAGTTGAACATTAGCTAGGTAATAACTAATCGTGCAGCACCTAATTTATTTTATTAAATAATAATTTAACATGTATTTATGGAGTGCTTTTCATGGGCCTCAAACTTAACATTGGTTAGAATTAAGAGAAACACATTTACAACACACATGTTAAAAGCAGATTTGAAATGGTGAGTTTTTATGTCTTTTTGAACATGGACACATTTTTGTTTTATTTTCATTCATTTAAAAATAATCTTTGGGTATTTTGGGAAAAACACTGTTACGCCCTGGTCTAGGGGAACCTAGGCGCAGCACACAATTGCACTCTCCCCACTCCCAAGAAATGGACAATGAGACAGAAAAATGCCTTACCTGTTTGTTTTTAAAGGAGGCGAGACAACCCACATAAACAAATAACCCTGGGCATACATACATCTTGCCTAACAAAATAAGTAAAATAAAATACAGGCTTCTTACCTAACCTAACGAAAAAACAGGAGAAAACAGGAATTGAACAAAAGAAAAGGGTTTCGCACTCCTGGGCAAAGCAAAGCGTGTCTTTCAAGACAGATTAAATTAGTTTATCTTTACAAAGATACCAAAAAGTACAAAAGGACCGGTAATCGTTAGATTTAACCACACAGAACAATAGATCAGGTTTTCTACAACAGACACTGAGTTGGGAGTAGGAGAGGTCGATGAGAGAGAGGGCAGAGGAACTGCATGGCTGCAGCTTAAATGCTCCTGTCTCTACAGGTGGACCAATCAGCTAACGGGCACGACCTGCTCACTCTCACACATACACAGAGGGGGTGTTTCAATACTAAATTAATTCTGTATCACTGTTGTAAATCTCTTCTAAGGATAGTAATTTGTTCATCTGTGAGGGAAACTTCTGAAGCAATTGGAAACAGGACTCAGAGAGACACGAGGAGAGCTGGAGCTCTGATGGCAAACACTGACGGTTTATTTGGAGCTTCAGCCGGAGAATTCACAAGACATATCACGGGCCACGAGTTGACACAGGTTGAGATGCCAGATCAATTCTGAAGAACCCTCCTGTAGTTCGAGGTTTGAACTAGTTTGGAGTGTAATAATCAACATTCTTCAATAGATAGACTAAACAGCTGAGGACACTGAATTAACTTTAGTTGTCGGTTATGGCTCGGGGTCATCTACACCCCGAGAAGGATGTGTTCCAGGTGTCCCACGACAATAACTGTCTCTGACCGAGAGTTGCCCGGTCATAAACTGGTAACCACAACAAAATGCTAGGGCAGCCCCTCCGTAAGGGAGATAGCGGCTGTCCAAGGCTGGGCATCTGCATCAGAGGGCGAAGGAGGACATGCAGGGCAAATTATTCCCTGACAATCATGTGTATTTGTTTTTCTGTCTCTCGTCTCTCGTAGCTTGTGTGGCCAGTGGCGCGCTGCTGCCCAGAGCCTTATGGCAGTTTGGGAATATGATCAGCTGCTCTCAGCCCGGCACGAGCCCCTTCAAGTACAGTAATTACGGCTGCTGGTGCGGCTTCGGGGGGACGGGAGCCCCTATAGATGAAGTGGATGCGTAAGCAAGCAGCCGCCGTTTTTCCAATTGTTGTCTTCCACTCATAATTTTAATTTAAAAAAGTCATTTTGGTTAGGGTTAATGTTGTTTTCTCCTTTCCTTCTGTGTTCTCAGCTGCTGTAACGTTCATGACAACTGCTATAAATCCAGCAGAAAGGCTCCTGGATGCACGGCGTTAGCTGACCTTCCCTATGTTCTTGCTTATGATTTCACCTGCTCAAATGAGGCGGTGACCTGCTCAGGTGAGATCAGACTAAACGAACACAGCGATTAGACCAAGGACGTTCAAATAATTGCCTACTGTTTTGATAAGCGAATAATTGTTACGGGCAAAGATGTCAAAAGTAGATGTTTTCTAATTAACACTGGTTATTTGGTTTTCTTTAAAGATATCACTTGGGACTTTCAGAATCTGAGTTGAACATTTATCGCCATCTTCTGACAAAGACCAAACAATTAACCCAACAAATAATTGGCCAATTAAACTATAATTACAGTATTGCAGCCCTAACTCAACTTCAGTAAGGCTCAACACTTGTTTAGATAGGACATTTGACAGTATGCAATCAGAAAATGATGTGTGTTTGTGTGCGTGTGTGTGAAAACATTGTATTTAAACAGCTATATTTAGGTATTACACAGCCATGGAATCCCTACACTGCAAACAAATGCTCTCCCATTTTACAGCACTTTCAGAGTCAGTGATAAAGTTTGAGTGATTGAGCTTTATGTTTTGTTATGTTTGAGCAGCTATTTGTCAGTTTCATGACTTTTTCTTTCTCTGCAGCGTCCAACAACAAGTGCCAGGCTGCGGTGTGCGAGTGCGACCGGGTGGCGGCTCACTGCTTTGCTCAGAGCACGTACAACCCTGAGAACAAGAACCTGGACTCCAAAGTCCTCTGTGTCAACTGAGTTACACAACCCACAAACACACACACCAACGCGAGAACATGTATGATTTTTAATTATTTTATAAGGCTTTACACACAAATTGGAGTAAAAGGAGCTTGATTTTGTACAAAAGCATCAGTATGAAATAAAAAATTCAAGTGAGATTCTCAGTGTGGGAACGTCAACCCCTTTATTTCCTCGTGTCTGTTTGTACTCGTATGTTGTAACAGATGTTGCAGCTGTGCTTATCGCATCGTTAGCGTTTCCATTTCTACAGTCACAGTTTTATTTAACAATTCCAGGTGAGTTTAATTTGTAAAGCACACTAACACTTCAGTTTTCCACTTATGCATTAAGTGTTTGGTCTCTTTATCAACTACAAATCTATTGACATATCTAGGTCAATTGAGGTAAGAATGAAAATATATATAATATCTATAAGAGAACATCCACCTGCTGCTCTATTGTCTTTTGGAGATGTTGGTTTATAGCGATACTTTGGTCTTCATAAGAAAGGAAGCTGTAGGTTGTTACTGCTAGATCATACATTGACAAACATTCAGCAGCAAGTTCAACTTTAAAGTATTTTCCAAATTTGAGAGTACAGGATGGTAAAAGTAGATTAAGCAAATGTTTTAAATCGATATCAGGAAGGTATTTAAAAAATACAATAATCAAAGCAGCAGCTGTGAACAACAACAGATGAATTATGAGCATTTCAAAATAAGAGTCTGGATCACGGCTCTGTGGGTTATATGGGCTTGTAAAGAAGAGTGGTCACATACTTCTTCTTGTATCGGTGCGTTGCACTGAGGACCATCACCCCGTCCTAAGAGACAAGGACAACAAGAGTTTTTGAATGAGGCTTAAACAAAAAAAAACACAAATTAATTGACTTTACATATAGATTTAATTGGAAATTGTATAATTGTATGATTATTGGCAATGAAAATGCAACCCACAGCAAAAACAGTTTGTATGATGGTGAAGAAATACGTTATAGTTTGCTTAACAACAGAAAATAAGGGAAATCCAATAGATATAAAGTTTTAGATTCAAATTAAGATATTATAGTATACAATCACTGATTTTGGTCCTTTCAAAATAAAGCCATACACTTATTTGTTGTCCGACATTTGATGCATGTTGTATGACAAATGCTTGAAATGCAGGATCAAATATTAGGGTCTCTTTATGGTGATCAATAACATGTATGTGACAGTTTGATTAAAACCCATTCTGTGTTTAATGCATCGGGAGTTCATGCATCATTTCCCCTTGGTCTTGCTGTGAGGGAGGAGGGACTCTTTAATTATATTATGCACAGACTACTTTAAAGCAGCTTTGCATTCAGAGGTTGGGGTCACATTATGGAATTCTCTACAATATAATTTAAAGGGTTGTTTGAATAATTTTTCCAGGTAAAAAATATGGATAAAAGGAAGAATAAACAGATGTGAGGAAGGTAATGCGGGTCTTTGACGGTGAATTATTATGTAGTTGTATTCCTTTCCTTCTCTTGTTACTGTAGGTATTTGTTGTAAGTAACTGTGATTTACGGACCATCTATTTCAATTGTTTATTTATGTTTTGAGTCAAATGGCAGTACATTTGATTGTACTCCCTTCTAATTTTTGCTCATTGAACATTAATAAAGTTACATTTTAATTGAGGATAACTTATAAGTAATAATAATAAACACGCCACAGCAGGATGTGTTACCTTGATGGAGAGGGCATACAGGTGATTGAGCATCACGTGGTTTGGCTCTGGAAGCAGCGTCGGGTCACACTGAGGGAGATTCAGAAAGAGGAACAATTTGACTTAAAGGTCCCATGTCATGCTTTTCTGGTTATTACCCGTCCCCTTGTGTGTTATGTAGCTTTTTCTGCATGTAAACGGTCTGCAGAGTCACAAACCCTCAAAGTACACCCTGTAGCGAGTAAAACTCTAACACAGAAAAGACCTGTCTATGCTGCCCCAGAACGCCTCGTTGGAGATTTTTCTTTTTCCATTTTTTTCTTCCCGAGTATAGTGACGTGACCATACCCAGGTCCAAATGGACCAATCCGTGGAGCTCCTCACACACACACACTCACTCAGCCTTATCTTTTCTCAGCAGCAGCTCCGCGGATTTCTCAGCCTGAACTCAGCTTGAGACAGCGTGACACCGCGAAAGAGTTTGTGTGTGTGCTCAGGCTGAGATTCGCGGTGTCTCGCTGTTTCTCGCTGTCTCGCAGACCCCACGCAGCGACCAGGAAACGATGCCAGTAAGCCAGCTCACACTGTCCGCACCTCGAGCAGCAGCGAGCCCCGCAACGTCCCGCCAACACGGCACCCAGACCCCACGCAGCATTCTCATCTGTTTGTCCTTACTGGTGTCATTTTCTGGTTGCTAACAAACGCCATTGTAACACATAATCACACATCAGAGCACAGTGGGCTCATAGGGAGGAGGGGGGGGCAGGAGCTCCAACAAGGCGTGTAGGACAGAGAGTGAATACACATACTATACAGAATTGCTGTATGAGAAAACCAATGTGATTTTGGAACATTGAACAATGTAAATCTATTCTAGTAGACCTCAACAATGGAATTATGATCAGTAGAAATGGCCATGTCATGGGACCTTTAATCTCAAAGTATCGTTACAAGAGAGAAACGTGTCCTTCTTCATGGAGCGTGTACTCACAGAGATGCTTGTGTCCTTGTTGAGCAGCACCTGCAGCAGGTGGGGGGGTAAGATGGGAGGATGTTTGATCTTGTCTTCGGGCTTTATCACATACGCTTCCTGTAGGTACGGGCCAGGAGGAGAACTGGACAAGTCTGGGGAAGGAGTCACACACAAAGCTGATTAAACCCAGCCATAGATAAAAAATAATAATGTGAAATCAATTTCAATTCAACTTTATTTCCTACACATTGGTCCATTTCAGTACAAAATGATTAAAGGGGCCATCTTATGCTTTTTTATAATGCTTCTCTGGAGTGTGTTTTATAGGTTTTTGTGCATGTAAACGGTCTGCAAAGGCTAAAATCCCAAAGTATCCCAACAAAAAGGAGTTTCTCTCCCACACAAAAACATACAAAGATGATTAAGGTAACAATAGCAATACCTTGTGTCACTTTGTGTTGGCTCACTTATGAGAGCATTATTTAAATACAATGATTGACACATACATTTGTACATAGCATTTCTCATGACAGCATACAAAAAATAGAAACAATAAAAGTCATAAACATTTGACTTGCACTTACACAATATGGGAGCTAGAACTTGATTCTGAAATATAAAAAATGGTTATCTAAAGCTTAATTTAAGTATTTAATATACCTGCACTAGATCTGTGCTATATAGAGTACATTAGCTTTAAAGAGGGCTGTTTTTAACACCATCTGACCCACTTGAAATTAACGTGCCAGCATACTAGCTTCTGCATACATTTTGCAACAAATCATCATGATCCCATAGATCAATATTGATGTTGTGACCTTGATATCTTACTTTGTTCACCACATTTCGGTCTGCCATTTAAAATAAAGGAAAGGTTTGCTTAGCCAGTACAAATTCATTGTTCAAGGTTTACTGCAGCAGATTAAGAGTAACACAATGTATTTGTTCTCTAATGGCATACGTTCTATATTTAAAGCAAATGAAATAACTTTTGAATAGTATCTGAACAGTCTAAAAGTAATTATAAATGAATTTATACCTGAGATATCTTCAGTGTCCTCTGAGTCGATCCTGAGGGCGTCAAAGACTTCAAAGTCAGTCGTCTTCACCTGGATGACATTATTCACTGTGCCAGTTTTAGACGTCGTCACGGCCTATAAAAAAAAGAGTGTGATGTGATACAGACCCTTTAGATAGTGGAATGGGCATTTCTACAAACATGGAAAAGTACAAGTAAAACGGTTATTTATAATGTAGGGCTGGGCAATTTATTGATATTGTGATATGGGAAAAAGCTATCATCTTAGATTTTTGATATTGTAAGTTGTGTTTTTTCTGGTTTTGAAGGTGAAGTGATGTAATTTTCATGATTTATCTGCATTTTCTAGTAGTTCTATTATTTACCTTTACCCGCTTAGTCAATAAATCCCCATTACTCATGATTATTTATACAAAATATCATTGTGATCTATGATTTCTTCATGTTGTATTATTATATATTAAACAAAAAGGTGGGCTACTTTAAAACCTCCACTCACCCCAGTAGGGTCCAGGGTCCACTGCCCGTCTACAGAGAACTTGTACTGGTGCTCTCCCTCCGGTAGATCCACAATAGCCACAAAGTTTTTTTGACTGCGTTTAAAAAGGAAACCACGTGTTATATTTCCATCATAACAAACAAATCCAGGATTTACAAACCCTGAGTCACACTACCTCTTGTTGAGAGGGATCTTGGTGGCCCAGTTGTTGAAGGATCCCGACACAAAGACCTCCTTGGCGGTCCCCGTCCACCTGAACACAGTCGGTCTGGCCTGCTTTGGACTCTTGCTGTCGCTCTCCAGGTCGTGCTGCCAGGCCAGAAACTCCTGGATTTCCTCTGGAGCCTGGACGGCATGATATCAATGTATTTTTGCCATGTTAATAATGAGATCACATGGACCATAACAACATTTCCTCTCTGAACAGAGGCAGCTGAAGAAGCAGTTTAGTGGTGTGTGTGTTTTCATGCTATAAAAATGTTTATTTCTTGCAAACTCTTTGATTTTCAGCTAGTTGTGTGCACAATCCTCACAAGAGATAATTGGAACCATTATGGGAACATAATTGTAAGTGGAAAAGCTGTGCAGATATAAAATAGGTAGCATGGAACTATGACCGTAGATAGATTACTTCAGTTGCAATTTGGTGCTATATATATATATATATATATAAAAAACACCTTGAATTTCAGGGGGGGCTCCGTTGGCGGGGCGCAGCGCCCCTCCAAGACGGATGGGCCGATCTGCATAATGAGTACTTAGACTTTTGCTACTTTAAGTATATTTTGATGCTAATACTTTTGTACTTTTACCTGAGTAACATACATGTAGGAATTGTACTTGTAACAGAGTATTCCTACACTCTGGTACTTATAATTTTACTGATCTGAGTAATTCTTCCACCCGTGTACCTTTGTATCTTCTCTCTGGAACAGGTCTGCGTCCTCTGAGCTGTCCATCAGGATGTTGGGACGGGCCTCCTTGCCTCCCTGCTCCCTGTCTGACCTCTCACCCTGACTCCCGGACCTGTCGCTGCTGCTGTTCCCCATCCTGCTGGCATCAGACAAAAACACACACACACACACACACACACACACACACACACACACACACACACACACACACACACACACACACACACACACACACACACACACACACACACACACACACACACACACACACACACACACACACACACACACACACACACACACACACACACACACACACACACACACACACACACACACACACACACACGGTGTCAAATGACCACTTGAAACAAATGTTAGCAGCATATTTTGCTGTATTTATTTATAATAATCAGACAATGCAAATACTTACCTAAATCTTAACAGATGAGGTTTGATTGCATGTAGTTTTATCAAACAGAGGTCATTTGTGTCATTTGTTTCTGGTTGTAAACGCGTTTTTTGTCGCTGTTCCCGTCTTTTAACTGCAGAAGTTTCCTCAACAGCATTCAGGCGGAGGTGCGTTCACGGTCCCGCAGACACAAAAAGTCACTCGAGTTTTATTTGTGCTCTTCCCCTTTCATTATTCCCTACCTTTACTTTTCCTGCTAATCTCCTGAGGTCTGCTGCTCTTTGTGGGTTTTCGCCATTTAAGGCAACCTCGCTTTGTTGTGTGTGTCGTGTTTTTAGTGGAGAAAACACACCTCTTCCGCCTCCTGTCCTCGAGCTCAGGGAGAGTTAAAGTTTAACCCGAGTGTCGCCAAATACTTAAACTAGGCCTACTTGAAACATGATTTCGCAAAACAGATTGTTGATCATAAAATAACAGCAAAATGGTCAGAAAGTTGGTTATTTTTTTGTTGGTTACTCTGAAAAAAAATAGATAAGAACTGTAGCTTTGAAAGCAATCATTCCAGGGGCGGACCTACAGGGGGGCAGTAGAGTATTGACAATAACAATACCAAAGCCGAAGCCCCTCCCTTTCCGGTGGACCTCATGGGACCTTATTTCGGAAAAGTTATGCATTGAAGTCAATGGAGAGAGAAAGATTATCTTTCGATCCCGTTTGAATTGTGCCACGAATTACACATATGATATTTGTTAATTTAAAAGATAATTTTATAAGTCAAAAAAATAAAAATGTGTCGTAAAACTGTGAAGTAACACTTTTTTTGTGTGAAACCGCTCAATGAACTACATCTCCCGTCTCGCACCAGTATTAAAAGAGGTGAAAATCACTGGGCATGTTGAGAGCTGTATTTACACAAAAGGGGAGTTAGTCGGTTCCGTAAGAGCCAGCATGCAGGACTGGGATTCTGGGATTTTTAGTCTTTCTAGTTGCGTATTTGTCATAGTCTTATATTTCAACAGTTTTACAACAAACTGTGACTTTTTTGACATGGAAATAATTTTTTTAAGATTGACAAACATCATATGTGTAATTCATGGCACAATTCAACCAGGATCGAAAGATAAGTTTTCTCTCGCCATTGACTTCAATACATAATTTTCCCGAAATAAGGTCCCATGTGTTCCACCGGAAAGGGAGGGACTTCGCCTCTCTACAATCCCACATAGGCTACTGTCCGCCCTCCCATGCCACTCTGACATGCCCCCCCTTTTCCACCCCATTAAAATGTTCTGGAACCCCCACTGGATCCCTCTGGTTTATTTCAGAATCAAGAGAAACAAAAGACATCTGTAAATAAGGGGCCGCAGCTCCACAATGGGTCACACTGTAAATAAATATGATCAGGATAGAACAAAACAAAAAACCTTTCCTTTACAAAATAAAATGTATGTTTTTTTAATTCTCCTCTAATCTTTGCTTCTGTGTCTTTTTGGATCATTTGACATCTATAGGACTCCAAAAAATTAAATCAAATACTTAACTTAACTTTTTTAAGCCAGTAAAAAGGGGAATTACCCAAAACACTTGGGCCACACCAAGATGTGTTTTGGGTAGTTTAAAAGTGTTTTGGCTTTTGGTTTTTTGATTCATAAAATGTAATGTTGTATGTAAGAGGCAGGTAAAACTGAAGTCAGCATAGAAACTTTCTCAGTAGGAGAGCGTCCTCCTGCCATATCACACTGATTTCTCAGAGGTGTTCTCACGGCTCTCCTGTTTCATGTGATTATAGAGCTTGTAACTGTAAACACTCATAATAAAGAGTCAGCAGTATTTCAGTGTAAGGAAAGGTCACTCTTTCCCTTTTGGATTGATGATTACCAGTAATAATAATACATGTAATGACATCTACTGACTTTTGATGACCTTTATCCCTTATAGTTATTGTTTTGAAATACAACTCAATGTTACTGATGTCTTCCCAATGCATGAAATGAAAATTGTGCATCATTTAAATAGATCCCCAAATTAACTATTTGGTATCTTTCGAAACCCTGTCATTTAGAATAGAATAGAATAAGTCTGTGTATCTTTGTTTACATTTTTCTTCGTTCTTGAACAAGTGAACAGATAAGCAACACATATATTTTATTCTTTTTTAAACCAGTAAACGGAAAAGACTACGATGTGCAGGGACATTGGGATGTTAACAGCACAGTTACAAAAAACTGTTTCCAGAAACAGGTGAACATGGTGAGGCAGAGGCAGTTCCTCAGAGGGGGGATCATCGGATCCTCCCCGTATTTCACATGGTTGGCGCTCCCGTACAGCGAGGACCTCATGACCGGCCGCCGGGACAGTGAGAGCAGGGAGGCGAGGCACGGGGTGAGGCACCAGGGGTGAGACACTGGGGGAGAGGAGGTGGAGGCAGTGGAGCAGTGATGATGGAAGAGAGAAATCAGCCTGCAGAGAGACTGAGGGAGTCCTGCTGGTGCTTAGAAACAGTGTCCGGAAAAAGGGGAACAAATTACAAATGGAAAATATATCTAATGAGTTTTATATCGTATATGATTATAATTTAGTACAAATGTATATTGGTTTCTTTGAAGTATAATAATTCCTTTATTTAGTTCTCTTTTATAATGTGGAAAATGAGTATTTTAATAGAAAATGTAATTTAGGAAACGTTTTCAATAATTTAGTAACATTTTATTTAAGTTTTAAAATTTACTTTTTTCTTTACAAATAAGTATTTTTTCATTGAAAAACGTGTAGTGATCAAGAAAAAATATTTATAAATATATAAATAATTCATAGACATTATTTATAATTTTGCACCAATATGTGAGATATGTTTTATTTAGTATAGTTTGAATATATATCGAGTACACATTAAGAGCAAAAAGGTTCAAAAAGTTCAAACAGTACGCATGAATGGAATGTTTTAAAATAATTTATTAGGAATTTTAAAAAGGTTTTTTTTTCAAAGGAATAAACATGACAGGAAAAAGAAAATCAAAAAATGTTACAGTGTTGACAAGATTGTTATTTTTCAGTGAAAACAGCATCAAAGTATGAACTACCGTGGTAGCCCGCAGCAGTGTGAGCGAGTGTATCAAAATGAGAAACCTGGTACTTCGTAGATCGAGAGTGCTTTGTTCTTACGCTTCTAACGTTCGAAGGAAAACACATGTATCGTGATCGGCCAGTGCAAAGTCCTAGTAGCTCTGAACATAATCGTTTTGGTCTAAAAAAAGCTGTCACATTGCTACAGTCTGTGACATCCAGTGGATATGCAGTGATTGACTTGAGGGTAGATGAGTTAATTAGACCCCCCTCCTTTCCTGTAGGAAAGCCACCTTCTAAAAAGGTGCAACCATCCACACTTGATGTTAATGTAATAATACAAAAAAGTCAGATTAAAATTTCACATTTGAAACTGAGGTACCATCCGCCCCAATAAAACAGCACATGGCACATTGGAAACCAATGTGTATAAGACCATATGTCACGCAAACATCAACACAACCTGCAGAGCAGAGCAGTCATTACAGATTTCGCTCTGCTCGACCGCTCCTGCACACTACTCCTTCATTTTCCTTCACAAACAATCATCACATATTGAAAATCACAGTTAAAACAGCAATATGACAAAGTAAGAAATCAGCACGTTTTAATTTCCCCTTCTGAAAGAAGAGCATTTTCACACGCATTTATCCCCAAAAAGTAAAAGTGTTGTTGCAGCCTCTCTCCTGCTGAACACAAGGTGTTTTAACACAGATTGAAATGACACATCCTTTATAAAATGCCTGGAGAGAAATACAGTATGTGGCTGGTTTAATATTGACAAACATACTGACAAGTTTTTGACCTTCATGTGAAACTATGATACGTAACAGTCAAGCTTTCCAACACATACGCTTTGATGAAAAAAGCAATCATATTATTATTCCTCAAAAAGCCTCCCACCTCCCACAAAACAAACATTAGCGGAGCCCCCCCCCCCCCCAAAACCAGAGTCGTATTTACAATATTTTACAATTGTACAGCTCATGTAGGCCTAATATGTAACTGCAACTAATGACATTTGACCTTTATTAGTGTAACAAGTCTTTGTTAAAAACCTACCAAGATATACACTTTGTGACACATTTTCAAGAAATAGTATTAATCACAAATGTTTTGTTAAAATTCAGTATGAACTACTGACAAATATACAGTTTTTCCAGTACAAATTACAGATCCTGGAGATTTCTTTTTTCTCCTCTTATCTCAGATAGATCAGGTTCAAATACAACCCAATAAAACAAAACAGATAAAGAAACAACCATCACAACAACAACAACAAAAACAGTAAGGTGAAACATAACAACAGAAAAAACAAAAAGACTAAAAAATACAGCATCTGTATGTGTTGCTATTACATGAAGTGACTTTTCGCTCCTTTTATGAACTTCTTTTCTTTTTTTCCCTCAGGAGGTGGAGTTTAGTGAGGCGTCAGCAGGGTGGCAGGCTGACACCGGGTGGAAGTTCAGCTGCTCCGCCCGACAGGGGGGCAGAGACAGATCAGACCTGGGCAGATCAGACCTGGGCAGATCAGACCTGGGCAGATCAGCTCCAGAGCAGCTTCAACTCCCACCAGCTCTTTGTCTGCAGCTCTGCACAACAACAAAAAACCTCCAATTACTCCCAGGTAGCGCTGCGCATTACATCATTATTATACAAATATCTTGATATGAGACAGACTAGATTTCTGATCATGAAAATAAATTCACAACATTTTTGACAAAATACCTCTATAACGAGGTATAGGGTAGACTATTGATGCTTTCTTCAAATAATATTTAGTTTTTAATAAAAAATGATCAGCGATGTGAATGTAAATGCTTAGTGTGGAAGGATCACTTCACTGAAATGTCCCCTTTTAATTGAGAAAAAGAAAACAGTAATGCTGTATTGAGACATTCTGACAACCAAAATATAAGATGGTATCTCGTCTCATATCAGAATATCGACGTTATCATATTTTATAGCCCTAAGCACTATGACTCAATCCTACAATATCGTTGCAATACACATATCGAGATATTTGATCAGGAATATTGTGGCAATTGATTTTCTCCATATTGCCCCGCCCTAATCCCAGGTGAGTCCCGATAGGGCAGTCTTATATGTTTTAAATAAGTCTTATTTGATGTAATTAGCTACACATTGATATCAGAACGGCAAAAAGAGTTGACACATCCTCTGTCCCAGACTGCAAACCAAGTTTCGACCACAACTTGGAAATAAAATCTAAAGAACCTTCTGATATCTGTCAGTAGCACTAAAAAAGATTTGGGTTACTTGAATGGAACTACACTTTAATCATTGGGCTAATTTGAATCTTATGTACATGCTGAATTTTTGCTTTCCTGAATATGTGTCCTAATGGTTGATTGCACCTACCCTAAGCCGCTTTGGGTAAATGAAATGTAATGTAAGAACAAGATGCTGACTCACGTCTCAGTGATAGCCGTTAGTGAAGGCCGTAGCGATCAAAGGGCCCTGTGGGAGCAAGAATACAAGTTTTAAAATGTTGTTCTCAAGAC